ATTGCTCTGTCCCTTTGAAATGAACTAGATTTACTACCCAAGTTAGATCTATTTTGCCTGAAGTTCCAAAAGCATTTTAGCATAATTTTAGCAATACTAAAATTCTATCAAATTCTAGCACTAGACTTTGAAAACAAAGCCACTGACATCTGTGTTTCAGAGCAATCAAATATTTATGAATCTTGCAAGTACTTTTGTCCATAACCCTGAATTCATTGCTATGTACATTATAGGACCAATAGCTGCTTTTCACCTCCTGCATTGTAAGAGTACTGGACAAATCGTCTTTACACTTCATAATTGGTGGGGAGAGTCTTTGGTTTAAATCTAAATTCCTGGCAGAATACAAACAGGGCACAGAAATGTGCTGTGGTTTATAACACTGTCACCAATATGGTCCCTGCCCAGAAATCTTAGAAAGTTTGCATTCAGTGCTGAGAGATCCCAGATGACACTTCATCAATAGAACTGGAAGAGAGTATTTGGAATATAAAGCCCATGGCTCACACAGGGTGCCTGTTTAGCACTTGTTTGGCACAATTAAAAAGCTCAAAACTCTTTTTTCTACAAAAGAAACACAGAACAAGGCAAATAGATTCACATGGTTTGACTTCAGAATAACATACTTTTTCTCAATCTTTATTTCAACTCCTATGTAGTTAACCCTTTTTACTTTCTCTTTCCTTTTTTCTTTTTTTCTTAATTTGGCAAAAAATGGGAAATTCATACTTAGGCTAGAAGAAAGTCTTGACTGAACAGAAGAGACAATCAAACCAGCAACTGAATTAAAAAGGTACTGAACTTAATTGCTTATTACCAAAATATAAACCATTCGCGTTAATGCAAGATCCCATTTTCACCACAGCTAAAAAACAGAAGCAACAGCATAAAGAGATTTAGAAGGAAAAGAAACTTTTTACACTTGCAGAGGAGTGTACAGAATTGCAAGCAGTCCAATATTTTTTCATTAACTCCTAATTAGATAGTTCTATAAAGAAGAATGAGTACTGTTGGATTATGCATCCTACTGCAAGTCCCCAGACACCTCCTGTATTGTTTATTTTCACAGAAGCAATAGGATTTAATTCTACAGTAATTACTTACCAATTTTCCTCCAGAACAGAAGTACATTACATTTCCTACTAAATTGAAAATGGAATCTATCAAGTAGCTGCTATCTTGCAACTTACTGATAAAAGAGTGAAGGAAAAATATTTTAAGAGGTTGTATTTATCTTTGAAAGGTGCTGAATCCAAAGCAACTGTTGGATGGAAAAGGCTAAGAACTGAGAGCTTAGGCCTCTGTAGGATCAACAGGGATCTTGTTCAATACTCACTGGACAGAGTACAATACTTATGTGCATCAATTTCCATTACATATGAGAAATTTACATACACATATATATATACCTATATCTTTCAAAACAAATCAAGTCATTCCTATTTTCCCACAAGTTTGAACATTAACCTTTCAGTTGGCTTCTTCAGATTCTAATTGTTGTGCACTCAACTGAAATCAACACCAAGCATCTAGCAACACTACTTTTGAAAAATGCATTTGAAGTTTTTCCCGACAGTGGAGGTTGAAGATGTCTTGTCAAACTTTCAGGGTTGACCAAAAAGTCCTTTTTCCAACATGAGATTAGAATAGCAAAGGTCCAAGCCTAAGCTAGTGAACTAGTCAACAAAATGGAACAAAACCTCAAAAGGAATATGGGAGAAGCTAATGGAAAAATGAAAAGAACTCAAATGATTCAGTGAAAACACTGCTTTGAAAGTGGAGTCTTGAAAAATGAGGGGCCAAACCCCAGTTTCATTGAGAAGAGAGTTATATTTTCTTAAAACTCTAAAAGATTATGACCAATTTTAGCCAATTACCAAAATTTTAAGTCACTATCAGTCTTAGGAGCCCTATTTTTGAAATAGGCTTTCTGAATTTTTTTGAAAGAATTCAGCAGGTATTTTCCCAACCAAGAGTACTTTTTAATAAATCTAATTCTAAAATGTCAGTGAATCTGAAATTTATATCTGAAAATTTCAATTAATATTTTCACTGAAGTTTATCTTGGTACACTTCATTTCAACTTCCAGAGACTTCATAGTCATTTCAGGAGAGGAGTGAAGTGAAACCGAATTCATCTCTGGAGGCAGATCCACCTCATTCTTTGTGGATGCACTGCAGAGCACAGAAGCCTCTGCATAGGGCTCTGGACATGGGTCCTGTGGGCTGAAAAACCCACACAAAAGGTGTACCCACACATTCAGAGTGTGGGCATCTGCAGGTCAGCTTTCTTGGAAAACATGCTTAAATCCTGAATGCTGTGCCAGTACATCTGAGTGGCTTTGGAGACATGAATGGGATCTCAGCCTACAGACTTGGAGCACAGCTAAGCTAGGTCATGACTGCTCCCACCTGGCCCACCAGATGTCTAAAGACTTTTCAACTAAACTCTTAGGTACAACTTGTACATACAGGTTAACTTTTGCTTCAAGTTGTAAATGTTGAGCTGCCAAAACAGATAGTGAGTTTCAAGAAGTTCTTGTTCATTGCTTCAATACAGAATATGCTTAGAAAATACATGAAATTATGATCTTATATACTTCACTCCCTCCTGAGATGGCCCAACACTTTTCACCACTTCTTTTCTTGCTCAGTATGGAAGATGAGCCCTTTGAGACCATACAAGTCATTTCCACCTGCAATGGAGATTGGCCAGGAGTAACTTTCAATGTGGACATAAAAATGAAGTGTGAATTATAAGGCAATATTCTTGTGAATAGTTGTAGTTATAATAACTTTTAAAAAGACTGCATAAAGAGAAATACACAAATATGAGAAATGTGATATATTTTATTACTGCACAAGAAACATGGGCAATGAAAACCTGCTGGTGGTACTGCCCTTGGCAAGGGCTGCTATTTTGACCACCACTTACACTAAAAATGATCTAAATCTTGCAACAGAACTACTATTTTACTTCAATTTAGCTTTCATATGCAGTAGTATATAGTAAAGACTACAAATCATCATCATAGCTAAACACACTGCAAGATGACAGCTCAAATGTTCCAGATCCTTGCAATTTCTGAGGAGTAGTAGTGCAACAGAGCATTACAGGAGCAACTGTCACCAACCAAAGTTCAAAAAAAAATCAAGCCTGTCACAGGCAACAGACAGATGTTATTATTAAAATGAAACATGCTGGGAATTGTATTAATTCTTTTTGTTGTCTACATTTTCAGTTGCAACAACAATAGAAGGTTTGGAATATAATTCTAACCATAAAGAATTAAGACAAAATGCCTTTAAGCTATAGAACAGTTTCAAATCTTTTAAAACCTCACTGTAAGCTTTCTTCCCACCAGAGACGTGATTCAAGCTGCTTCTCCCTTATGCTGTCTCCATTTTATCTAAGCATGATTCCCATGGTTCAGGTAATGTTACACAGCTTCTTCATTTATCAAGGCATTTTAGAAGTCTTTCAGATAGATACAGAACACAAGCTAAAGCAGGTAAGGCACTATAAAACTGATCCTTTCCTGCCATCTAGGGGACACAAACTGCTGTGCAACTGGAACGATGTCTTCAGTTACATCCAGGAAAACTTTCTGTATGAAATGAAATATCTCTACCCAGCCAAACAGAAATTAACTGAAGAGTAGCACACCTAGCAAGAAACAAACCTAGGATAAAGCCACCACTCCTGCCTGCAGGGCGGCACACACACTGTATGGGCAGCGTAGAGCTTTTCTACTGCACTATCCCCTCAGAAGGAAAACACAGAACCACTCAATGTTGAAAGATCATCAAGGTAATTTTAGAAGCTGAAGGTTGTTCCAAGATGCCAGTTTCTACTGCTAGCATTGGCATCGTGGCCAGGTTTTTCTCAACCCACTCTCCTCACTGTTGCCTTCTGGGCCCTTTCACAAAGCAGACTCTACAAAAGGAAAGAGCAAACTCAGCTAAATGCTAAGTATAGCCAAATGCACACACAAAGATCCATACAAGTTTTTTCCCAGTCTTTTGTTTGGATTTGTTTTGTTCTTACTGTGGAAGGGAACAGTCCACTAAAACAAACACTCTTCTCTAAAACAAACAAAGACCCACACTTCCCATGGCTGAAATGATGTGATCTTTAGGATCAAAGCTGGAGCTTCTCCGAGATGAAAGGAAGCAGGTGTCCAGCCAAGACGTTCTGTGAACTGGCTACAGCTGCACATGATGTAGGCCCCCATTCTGCCCCAGTGAACAGACTGGAGATGAAATGAAAGTGACAAGGCCACATTGCTACAATACCTCTTCACCAGAGTACTCACAAACAAAAACCCCATCCAAATTCACAGAACAACTCAATTTTATTTTGATGACAAATATTTTGAGCAGCTGTGCCCAAGTCCTCTTCACCTTACTGCATGCAGTGTGTTTAAAGATCTGGAAAGAATCCCTGCTTTGGGGATCCTGAACCTCTTTGTCACCTAGATAAAAAGTAAAAAAACATAAACAAATAAAAAGCCATGTGCCAACCAATTTAGAGCAGTACAACATAAATGTGCATAGGACAGACACCATAAATTCTTGAACTTAAGGTGATTAAGATTGTTCTTTGTGAAAAGCACATTAAACACAGAATACTTTTAAAGTGCAAAACTACTGCAAGATATTTACTGCATTTAAATTAGCAAACATAATGCGGTATTTGGCAATGCAAAGACAGACACAGCATTCATTCTAAGGCAACCCTTAAAAAAATTATGATAAAATCACTTTTAGTTTAACAGACTCCAAAGTTATTACAAATAGGGCCCCCAAAATTCCATACCAAGGCATTTTCCCCCCAAAAATAATAATAGTAAAAAAAAAAAATCACAGCAATAGTGCTGTGAACAAACCAGTATTATCAATGGAAAACGGTTGCAGAAAATGAAGTTGTTAGGTGATAAAAATCATAGCATTTGTTAGGAATGCTTTATTCTGTAAAGATACTCAAAGGTCTTGAGTGCTAAGAAATAAAAAGAAAACATCCTTTATTCTGATATTATAATGTCTACAGCCAGACCATTTCCTCCTCATCAAAGCTATACGCATTACCTCAGGTAAGACTGTATTTAGTAAACAAAATCTAGATTTACAAATGGTTTTAGCTAGAAAGCATATAATACAAAATCATACTTCTTAAAAAAAAAAAAGACAAGCAAAGGGCAATAAAACCAGCTAGTGCTCTCTTTAAGTATTCAGGACTACATTCTGAATGATATCATTTCAGTTTGCAATTTAAATTTATTTTCAGGTTTATTTTTAAGTTACCAAACAAGAAACATCATTCATACTATCATTTTATTTTTTTCCTTTATAATTTGCTTCCCTAAGAACAAAACAAATCTTATTTTCACACATTAAAACAGCTGAACATCACAGCAAGCAGCTTTAATATTGGATTTTAACCTTGCCTTGCATTCATCTTTTTTCTTTATACACTACTTTTTGCTGACTTTAATTATTTTCTGAACATTTTGACTTGACACTCAATGTAGTCCTAAATGTGACTTTTTCTAACTGGCAATAATACACAACTTCATTCAACCAATCACTGTTTCCACATGTATTCAAAGTCTTTCCAAGGCTTATAACAATATATTTGCTGATACTTTTAACATTTCATTAAGTTTTATTTAAATAAAATGGAAGCAAATTGAGATTTACAAAGCTTAAAATTTTATTAAAGAAAACTCAGTGTCCTTAAATTTTCAAAACAAGATTAAACAAAAACATTTTGTCATCAAAGGCCTACAGTCAGTTTGCAAAACAGTTCAGGTAACCAAACTCCATGTGGCTTTTAGGCATGCAGAAGTGCAGAATGGTGCGTCTGGAAAACCTGCCAAGCATTTAGATAGGCTGGGTACCTGACTGCTGCTGGGACCTTGCTAGGAACGGGGTGTCCACTATCAGTTTTGATTTGTTCTTTTCTTTTAATCCTCATGTGGGGTTTTCAGGGGGACTGGTGGTTAGGTTTATGTGATGGTTCATGTTCTCAATTAACTCCATATCTTTAGATTATCTTTAGATTTAACTTAATTCCCTTCAAATTGAATTAACTGTTACTGGGTCCACTCTTTCACCACCTGTTTTTCAAATTTCAGGTGAAAGAATCTAACTCAAACACTGTCAAAAGTTCTCTGCTTGTGCAAATAAGACCAAAAACAAAAATGAAGGCAAAATAATTTCTCTGTAACAGAATCTGAAAACACGTATGATAGTAGATAAATAAATGTCAAGATTAGCTTCACTCCGAAGTCTACAGATACAGCACCATGGTTTTGTTTTGTTTATAGATCTGGCTTCCCTTTTGATTTTGTATTAATTTAGAAAACAGCACTCTCACTAAAAGGTGAGGAAGGTTCACAGATATAGAGTTTAAAATTTTAACAGAATATAGAAAGTGTACACATAACACTGGCTGCTGTGATTCCAAATTTAATTACCCATTTATCTTTGAAAAGTTATTCAAGTTCTAAATGACTACACCAGCATTTAGTAATAATATTTTTATGCACTGTACAGAGATGTACCTTCAAGTAGAAGAATATAAGAATGTCCTAGAACTACCTACCAGAGAAACTGAGACTGAAACAGATTTTTAAGGCAGAAGTTCCATTGTATATCAGATTGAAAGCCATCACAATATTAACTTTCAATAGTTCATTAAGCACTTAAAAATTTGCACTCATAACTATTAATTCTTGTGCTGACTAGAACTCTACTAATATTCCAGGAAGTCCAGCTGGAGATATGGTTATCCTTTGAGGTTAAAGCTATGGCAGAGTAAAGTTAACCTAAACACTACTTTTAATTATTAAATAAAATGTGCTCCTTTATGTTAGTAAGTTATACAACTATTTAGAAAGAGGAAATCTGAAATATTGACAATGACAAAAGAGATTTTAAAAAGCTATCATTGAAAAAGTTAGAATTCATATTCAGAAGGATTTCAATGTTTAAAAACAGATTCACATATGTTCATCCAGTTGAAGATTAGTGTATTAAAAAAAGTTAAGAAAATACTTTTGTGTTTCAGTTCAACTGCGCTTGATTCAAGCACAGCTTAGAGGTTGGCTGATATAAATTAAACATTGGTCACTGCCTCAGCAGCCAAAAGTACAGAAAAATGTACATGTTCACAGGATAAATAGAAGTCTCTTCTTTTGGAGGAGTAACAAAAAAAAAAGAAAAAAAAAGGCAAATAAAAAAGCTATCTCACTCCAATACGGGAGGTCATCCACTCCAAGCCTTGGCATAATCTGAAAGATAAGAGATGTTATACTTGGTACAAGTTCTATTCCAGCATCTTGAAGGTATTTTCTACTTGTTTTTAGGTGAAAAAACCAGCTACTTAAAATAAATTAAATCAACTGGAAATGAGATTGAAATCTGAAGAGAGTAACCAGTGTTTTAAACTAAGTCTACTTAGGCTTTGGCCACATCAAAATGGTCAAGCATTCTAAATTATTGAAGCTTGGCAGTACTTCAAATTTCTTTCTCCTTGTAAACCTGAAAGACACTATCCTTAAATGCTTACTTCCAAGTACATGAAAAGAAAAAAGTTCTTCTCGCTCTACAGAAAGCTAGACCCTTACATACTAATATTAAAAGAAAAAGGGCAGGTTATCCAGACTGAATTGTTTCATGAAAAGACAGTGTATCAAAATTACATTACAAAATTAAAAGTGTGTTTATATTGAATACCAAGCCTGCATGGGAGCTAATCTGCTTTCTAACCCAATTCACATCTCTATTTACAAGTCTTCCATTTTAGAAGATAGACTTTCTCTTGATTTTCCAGGGATCTAGTTACCTAATTTATACCCCTTTGAGCTTTATCTTTGTACAGTAAATCAGTGTTTAGCTATCCAAGAATGCTAGCTTCACTCACACCAGGTTGATCCCCCCAGATTCTTGTCAGATTTTCCCAAGGAAGACTCAGCTCATCTATCTAACTCTGGGAATGTTTTATTCTAAGTTCATTTCACTACTGTCATAGTTTAAAGTATTCTAAATATTCATTGCTTTTGTTTTACAATATGAAAGAAGCAGCCTAGGATGGCCACTGTTTCTAAACTAAACCTCACGTTTATTAATTATAATTTTCCTTCAAATGTCAACTTGGTTGAAGATCTTAGTCCATAAACTGTGTACTCAAAAATGACTTTAGCAAAACTGGTAGAAGGAAAGTAGTTAGCTTTTAGAACAAAATAATACAACCACCCCATAAAAAACCCCCCACTTAGTTCTCACTAACACCTTCCACCCCAGGGAAGTTAATGCCACCATTCACTCTACAAGACATCTCCATGACATTAAATACTTCATGCTAGAAAGTGAGGTAGTTGCTCTCCCTTCCTAAATACCCACTTGGATTCGCTATTTTTGATGTCACAAGACCACATTATTGTAAAGGTTGTACAATACAGCCAAAAAAACCCCTAAATATCACATATTACAAGACTGCCTTATAAACCAAGATGAAAATCAGCACTTCACACCATACAGGCAAGACATTATTCAACTTGTTAGAAGGTATTAATTATTTTTTTTTATATTTACAGACTAAGGATTTAAGACTAGCCCAGCATTCCATTTTAGTAATTGTTAGCATAAGATATGCAAATTTCAAAATTAGTTACATTAGCCAAATATAAACATAGTTTAATATTGGTAAAAAATTTGTTTTATGACAGATCTATGTAACTTTTCATCAAAAACTATGCTTCAATGCTAATTAAAAAAGCCAATCAACCAAAAAAACCCTGAACACCTCAATCTCCCAGCTTAGAAGCTTTCTGTAGCTTAGAATATAAAGGAAGGAACAGTAGCAAATTTCTTCAAATACAGAAAGACACACAAGAGTAAGAGAGTAGCACACAGAGAGTAGACAGTTATGTCAACAGCTACATACTTAGGTGGAGGGGTGGTGTTTGGTTTTTGGTTTGGAGTTTGTAACAAAAGGAAGACGTCCATATTAATTTGAAGCATGAGCTATGAAAAAACCAACAAGGTTCAATGACGAAAAATTTAAAACATCCCTCTGACAGCAAAGTTCAGAACTTTCAAAAATGCACTTTGGTGTCAGCAGGACCAGGAACTGCCATAGCAAGCAGTCAGCACTTACCCCTCTCCTGTCAGAGCACAGCAGGACTGGATGTGCCAGGGGTGATCCTTGATGGAGCTGAGGGTGAGGTACGCGGATATCTCGGCAGCCGTCATGCAGCCTTTCATGTCCTGCTTGTTGGCAAAGATCAGAACCGCAGCCTTCCGCAAATCCTGGCAACCATCCAGAGGACTCAGACACTTATCACACTGAGCTAAAACGCTATTGCGCTAACTTCATTTGTTAAAAGGACTGTATCCAAGCTAATCTACAACTACACTGGAGCATGGAGTTTTAACTGTCTTACTACATGAAATATTTGTTACAGTAAGGCTAAAAAAACTAATTTATTCAGAAGTGTTCACCACCACAGAGAATCAAACTGTTTGGTGTTGACCACAAGTTCATACATAACTAATAAAAGTCTTGTCAAATACATTTTATAATGCTTCAAACCACTCAGCCAGCAGAATTATTTCTGGTTAAGTACTGCAAGTCCTATACAATACAATAAACACTATTCAAATAGAAAAGCCTGCTAGATACCAGTCCCTTGAAATTCCTTCAACTTCATTAAAGAAGTTCTGTATTGATTAAAGCAGTAATAATTTAAGAAAACTTTCCAAATTCCTAAAAGTTTAACCCTAGTGTTCCAAAAAGGGAGTTTTAATAATGCTGCATCAGCTTTAATAACTAATTAAAATAGTTTTGTTTCAGCATGGAATTTAGCATTCAAAAACAGACAAGAACTAGAATGTATGGCTCTAAAAGAGAATTAAGGTAAACAAATCTAATACTCAGGAAGCTGACAGTTGCAACTAAAAGTGTTCAATACACTTCAATGCATGTTAAATTTTGAGAGTATTTTTCCACCAAGAGAAAAAATAACAAAAAACAACAAAGCTTTATGATCTACAGCTGAAAATTCAACCCTACAAGTAGCCCAATCTAGGCCTACCAACTGATTTCAAGAGATGGCAGATCACAATTTCTTAAAGAGTTTGAGACTGGAAACCAAAAAACTACATGGGAAAACTTCAGCACAAGAAGTAATTTTTCCACCTTTTTTGGTAGTGAATTTCCTCCTTACTATTAGATCCAAACTACAACTAACATTAAATTGCAAAGCAGAAACTCACCTATGTGAAACACAAGTCTCTCAGAGAAGTTAACTCAACAGGATTAATTGCACTGTACTAAATCCTTTTCTTTCAAAAATGAAAGAAAGAATATTTAGATTTAAAACAACCTCAATTCAGCTTCAGAGTGATCACAAAAGGTTTTAACATATTTTACCTAAGCAAATGTACAAGTTAATTTAGGACATCTGAGTGAGTTGACTCAAGGCTGAATAGTCCCTAGGACAAAATATAATAAAAATACAAACAAATAATTCTGAAGGAAAATGAACTGAAATTAATTTTCCCATAGTATGATATATAATCCTTAATTTTAAGGAACAGGATTAGAACAAACAAAAATAGTAGGCAATTTCATTTCTCTAAAATAAAAAGTAAAAAACTAAAAAAAAACCAAAACAAAACAAAAAAAAGAAAAACACAATTTCTTCAAATTTCAGCCATTTAACTGAACCAGTCAGTGGTAAAGGACAACAATACCCAGTTACATTAATATGAAGCATAACATTTTATAAGTCCAAAATTTGCAAAGTAAAGACTGATTTGATTACAATCAAGCAAGTCCTATTAGAACAGAGCTTCATAATAATTTTTCTCCTTATTTATAACTTACATGGTTTAAAAATGTGATCAACATGAATGCACACTTATTCTCAATTTTTTTTTCTGATGGTATTATTTTTGTTAACATAGGAAACATGGAATGTTGTTTAACTGTTCTCAACAAAACTATTATCCCAACTCCCCACCATACCTCATGAGCCAGCATTCTATAAAGTTCTTCTTTTGTAATAGAAAGTCGCTCTCTATCAATGCTGTCCACAACCAGAATGATGAACTAGGGAAAAACACCAACAGTATAATATGTAAATAAAAACTGCAAATTACAGAAAGCACAATTTAAAGAGACCACTACCACTAGTCTTCCTACAAAACAGACATACTTTCAGACGACACCAGAGAAGAGAAAGTGACAAGAGAAAAGAGAGTAGTAAAAAGGGAGAATTAGAAATCACTGCTATAATTCTCCAACATATTCTCCAAATCACTTTGCCTTATAAAATTAAAGTGATTCATTAGCCACTAAAAATGACCACAAAGTATGAGAACCTGAGTCAATTTAATGCTGCTGTGACTTTGAGATGCCTAGCAGATGAGGTGGAACAGTAACAGAATTATTCATATGAGGGAGGCTCGGATTAGCATAGTAAACAGATCTCTTTTCTTCCTCAACTGCTTCCAGCAGACCAAGCTTCTAAGTAAAGGGAAAGTTCTTTCCAAGTACTACAAGGCACTGGATTTCAAACACTTGCTAGATAGAATATGAAGAACATCCCAAAAGTATCAGAAAAATAAAATATGCATCTCTCCAAATTCCAAAACCAGATACTCAAGGGATAAATGCCAAGAACTTATTGCTCTATACCAGATAATACTGGTAGAAGTCTCTTTATCTACAGGTGTTTCTTAGGTGTAGCTGCACTTTTCCAGATAACATAAAAAATTAGTATAAAATACTAGAGATGAGGGTTGAGATGTCATTATCAGGATTACAGTAGATCTAGGATGGATCACTGATCTCACCTCTCCTCAAGAGCATAGGAAAAGATATAGAAAAAGTAATAGATAAAAAACATAATTTTACTAGAGGATGGAATACTTATATAATGAATAATATCTACAAGAGGTCTCTACTTTTAGTAGAAATGGTAAGAAATGAAGTCTAGAATATTTTACATCAGTGCAGATGTCTCAAAAAGAGTCCTCAGTGATTATATATGCCTTTTTGTATTGATAACCTCTTGGCCTCAAAAAGACTGTCACAAAAAACAAACCCCACAAATCAACTGTTGCTGAATTCATCTCCAACCTTTCCAGCAACAGCAGCTCTGCCAGTACCTCACGAGTAGTGCACAGCAAGACTTTCCTTCCTCCTCTGGATAAAAGCTATGAGCTGATGAGCTGTTTAAATACTGCTGCCTAGGCTTAGAGAATATTCCTTATTCCTTCATTCCTCATTTCCTCCTAATTATCATTATTTCAAAACCATTTCAGACTGGATGTACAGAAGTCCAGTTGACCACTGCAAATCATCACAAAATTTTCAAGTTACATTTCAAAGTTTTCTTTTCAATTGACTTTAAAAAAAGTAAACAAAAAAATCTGATCTAAAATGCATTTCATTATCATTTGATTGCCTAGGAAAAATCTAACTTCACAGTTTATAGCATAGAGCAAATAACACTACAGTAAAGTACACAGAAAAAATACTTCAAATATTACCAGAAAAATCGCTGCATACCAGAGATACCTCACACTTTTTGAATTTATTCTCCCTCATTAGAATGTAAAAACAATACAGCTGCAATCTCTACAAAAGTCTACAAATATTCCTAATAAATAAATATAATTTCAAACAAACACATTCAATTTGCAGATTTCAAAGCATCTTCTCATACCTCTGTGTTTGAATAATAGGTATTCCATGACGACCGTAATGATTCTTGTCCTCCAATATCCCACATTAAGAAATGAGTGTTTTTCACCACTATTTCTTCTACATTGCTTCCTATGGTTGGAGAAGTATGAACCACTTCATTCATTAAGCTAAAGGAAACAATATCACACTATAAAGACCAGTCAGCACAATCCACAAGGCTTGTTAGAATTCAGTTATAACAATTTTTTTTAGAAAAGTAAGTATGTGTAACTGACAAAAAATATTCAAAAATCAGGCATATTTAAAAAAGCTATACATTTGAACTTTAGAAAGCAGTGACTGTAGTCATGCTTAAAGAAATCAGCAAGGAAAAATAAGTACATAAAAGGCATAAAAATGGTTAAGTGTTATAGGAGGACTGTCTTTCTAAAGGGCATTAACAGACACTTAAAATGCACTTGTTTTAAAGCAGGAGATGCCATTCTAAAGATGCCAAATACACAACCACTAAATTGTGCAAAATAAAAATTGGAATATTATTTTATCAAAGCACTCTACTCAGTAACTAGATATTAAATCTCAGAGGACTGTTGGGTTACATTTCTGAAGATTTCTCAGTTCCACCTTTAAGCTTGCTCAAAATGCTCACATATAGAATGTTTTTTTGGAAAGCATACTATGCTGCTTTGCTATCCAAATATAAGGATATTCATTTATCTATATTCTCCTCCTTTTCCACTATCACAATAGTAATTATGCTCCTGACAACACTCTTGAATTTATTATGGATATTCTTGTAATGCTGCCAAGATTTGGGTGCAATGATGCTATAGAAAATGAGTAAGGTAGGACCTGAGAAAGCTGAAATATTATTTTTAGGAATTCTCTATCACAAATTTTAGACACTGGAATTGAGAAACATTTGGAAACCTTTTCAGATTTTTGAAGCCTGGCTGGAATTTCCATTAATTTAAAAATCATGTTCTTTTCTGCAATTACTGGAAACAAGATTATTTTTATGAATACACATTCAGACAGGCTTTCATGGGAAAAAAATTGCTGTTCACTTTGTGCTTGGATGTAGAAATTTGTTGTCAATTTATAGTTCAGTTTTAAAGCACAGCAGCTCCTTCATTTATCCTTTAAACATTTACTCTGTTTAGAACAACTCATTCCATGAATGTACAAATTGTGATCTAAAATCCCAGAGATTACACCAGGTTACAAAGCTGAATTTTCAAAGATTAAACAGTGACAAGTAAAAAAATGCAAACAGAAAAACAATTAGTTCATATACTTACAACTGGTAAAGAATAGTAGTCTTTCCAGCATTATCAAGTCCCACTATGATTACTTTGTGCTCTGCATTATTAAAAAAAATTAAAAAAAGAAAAAAGAAGAAGACAAAAATAAATTAGTGAAACAGCAATAATTACAATTCTGGTTAATCACTCTCCCTTACTGAAGAATGCAACTGCTTGTTTCTTTTATATCAACACCTTACACAGATTAGTGGTGACTTCAGGACAGAAAAAACACCAAACAAAGCCCCATCTTCTCTTGACACCCCAGTGTCAGGAAAAGCCAGCACTGGAAATCTAATAAAGGTATGGTTACTAATGATTACTTCATCTACAACATCTAGTTTTAGAAAGAAAAGTACAATGAAAAAATATAACCCACAGCAGTGTATCATGCTAAAAACACCAGCACTACCCAAAGACTGCAAAAGGTACTACCCTAACATTCAAGGATCAATAATAACCATTTATTAAGGTACCACCATTATTCACACAGTAAAATCTAAGAGGAAACTGTATTTTGAATAGGCCACAGATTCTAATTTTGCAACTTTTGAACTGAGAAGTCACAGAATGATAAATGGTCAAGGCTGGAAGACACTTCTGGAGGTCATCTGGTTGAACCTCTTTGCTGAACCAGGCCCACAGAGTCAGTGGCCTAGGACCATGTCCAGAGGGGTTTTTAATATATCCCAGATGGAAACTCCACAGCCTCCCTGGACAGCCTGGGTTATTGCTCAGTCACCCTGACAGTGAAAAAGTGTTTCCTGATGTTCAGAGGGAACTTGTGTGTTTCAGTTTGCGCCCACTGCCCAGTCCTGTGATTGGGCACCACTACGACAAGTCTGGCTCTGCCCTCTTTGCACCTCTTTTTCTCATATGTGAGATGCCCCAGTTCCTTGTCACCCCTGCAGCCCATCACTGGACTCCCCCCAGAGTGTCCATGACTCTCTTGTACTGAGGAGCCCAGAACTGGACACTGGACACACTCACTCCAGGTGAGGCCTCATCAGCGCTGAGCAGAAAGGAGAAATCATCTGCCCCAACCTGCTGTAAAATCCAACATATGAAACAGTGAACTCGCAATTGCTGCAATACTGTTTGTTTCCAGGCACAGGGAAGACAAAACAGAAATCAACCAAACAAACAAAATCAGTAAAACAGTCCTCCAGAATTTATATGCTCCTCTGTAAATAATTCCTCTTAGAATTTCAAATCCAGTATCACAGCCACTTAGAATGGTGGTTCTTTTGCTACAGGTGTGAAGCTACAGCATACTGATCCAATTACTGACAAAAATAAGCAAACCACTTGAGAGTGAAAAATTTGCAAATGGATACATAAAAACTCTGTGAACAAGCTCACTTTTTAAAAGAGATAATATTTACAATTCTAGGACACTTATTTCAAAGCAAAACATGGGTCACAGTTTCAAGATTTCCTACAAAATACCACACTTGATCTACAGGATCAAACAAGTTACTAGAACAGAAGATCTATTCAAAGTATCAAATGATTTTTTCCCCCCAAAAGTATGTGGTTTAAGGAAAAATTGAAGCATTTTGGTTAAAAATCTATTCATATATAGTAACCGAGGTCTTGTAATACTGAATATTACTGGAATAAAATATTTTCTTGTTTGGAACTTTTGTAAGTTTTGCTGTGCAATAGGATCATAACAGATGGTAAAATGTATTTCCCTGTGATAGTTCCCCTACTACTGCATCCTGTAAACACATGCTAAGAAAAGAACATTTCTTGACTGTAAATGCAGGAGTACTTTTAGCCCCACTAACAGCAGCATCAGTAATTAATAACCTTTCCCAATACATACATAGTATGAAATTCTCTCTACTTTCAAGGCTAATAAATCATGCCTAGTAGCTTGACTGTCCATCTCTTCTTCAAATGTAATTAAATGTAGAGAGCTTCCAAAGGCCCAAACACAGAAATGCCCTCCCGTTTTTTTCAAACTAAACATGTTGTCAACTATTGCCAGGAAGATGATTCTACTTTTGCAGCATTCTGTTTAAGTTATTTTCAAGAAAGAAAAGAAATTCCAGTCAGGCATTACACTGCTCTCTCATCTTCTTATCAGAACATGTTATCTTAGGCGTGAATGACTGGAGTGTTGGATGATACAACATCATACTAAGTCATGAAGAAAAAAACTCGGTTGAGATGGCTGCTTTTGAAAGCCACTGAAGTGTGAATGGTCCAACACTAACTGGGAAAAAAAGGCACAGCTTATCTGTGTTACTTCATAGTCAGATGGTGTTTCATACAGTGATTGAATAAGCACAAACAATAAATAGGCACACAAGTGTTAATCAATAGTGATCTTGGCATGAAAATTGTAAAATGAAATCATGGGTATTTCATAGAAGTAACAGATTCCAGAACTATAGCAATGGAAACCCTTCGCTTACAAACATATTCAAAAGTTGAATTTCTGTCCAGTTTGATGAAAACAAAAAATTCACACATAGATGTCCATTAGAGGAAAAACATGTGAGCTTAAAAACTACCAAACTAAGACAGAATAGAATTTTAGCATGACAGTTACTTGTTTACAAGAGTAACTAGGAGAAGACAGATGCCACATTTAGGAGGAAGGACAATTACTGGGTAAATCATAGGCAGTGATTTATTTGTGTTCTGTACTTACAGACTAACCCAAGTTTCTCCCTTTCACTGGCTGGTATTCAAACTCAGTTTAGGTTGTATTTATGAACATCTTCCCAGTCCACCATGTTCTTGGCAAAAGAAGAAGAAAATCCATAACAAAGTTGAGAGAGCAGAAGAGTCTTTATTAATTGCGTAGGAAAAGGGAGGGAAGATGGGGAAAGTAGAAGAAGTAGGCATATGCAGGGGAAAAAAAGAAAAGACAGTATTAGACTACTCCTTAAAAGTATCCAAGGACTTCTTGGTTTCATCAACCATTTCTAGCACACTGTTTAAAAAAATTGGTATGTAATATGGTTTAAAAAAATCTGTGGCAGTTTAGTATTACAAAAACACAGAACAGTGAAGATTATCTTCTGGCAGATCTTAGAAGTAAGACATAATATGCTCTTTTCTTCCTTACTCATCTATATTTCTCTAGGATAAAAGGGCCCAAAACTGAAGATTCAATTCTCTCAACATGCCTCTTCTCTACTTTGCAAAAGCTAAAAATAAAAAAATTCCAAATACTTTAATGATGACACTTCTAAAATATTTGGAAGAAATGACTACTGAATGAGTACCAATAGTTTTCAAGCTGTGAAACAAAATGCTCATCTGGTTCCAAAGAGCAACAGCCTTGGAGGCCTCAGAGTTGAAGACAGAATGCAGACAGAAGTTGCTAGAAAGAAGGCAGGAGGAATAGCATTATTCTGGAGGTCAAAACAGTTTCAACACAAAGAAACACACTCATTCTGCACACTACCAGCTAATTTAGAGTCTTCTCTTAAGCACAAAAGAACTGCTAAAATACATTTGTATCCCCAGATTTGATTACAAGGCAGCAGAGAAGCTGTCAATAACTTTTAGTAATCAGAGGAACCAAAAACCATTTGGTTTTCCAGATAATGGTTTCTCCTAACCTGACTGGGAACTGCCACTAAGGCTAGGTGAAATAAACGGTGGAGTTACAGAAGTTCAATCATCTTGAATTAGAGCTTACCATTACTTTTCTTAAAGCAACTTTTTAATAACTGTAGCAATTGTTCAGAGCAACCTGTAAGATGCTGGAAAATTACCATTCCAAAAATAAGTACACCCCAGATTTGTGAGCTTCTCTATATACCACATAAAAAAATAAGGTCTTGATAACAGTCATTTATCTTTATCAGGGTTGCTGACATTCACTTCTATTTTTAACCCACAGTTTAATTAAGAGCTATCTTGGTAATACTGATGAAATGATAAGTCAAGCAAGTTTTACTCAGACATGCATTAACACAGGCACTAACTTAATGGCTCCACCATCTATCCACACCACTGCATGTTGCTCAGAAGAATGTGCCACCACTTGACTGTTGAATCATGGCTTCAGCATTTTTGGAGCTTCAGCAGGTTATTTCTGGAGTCTGATTTTTTTAAAACTTCTGAAAGTAAGTTACCAGAAGTAAATTCAACTGAACTTATGTAATTTAGCAACTAGACTTCAAATGGCTGCAGAGAATGGTATTTTAAATAAAACAATTCTTGAGTAATTTTTTTTTTGTCAAGTTCAAAAGAAAGGAAAAAAAATCACAAAGCCATTAGAAAGTTACTTATAAAAATGACAAAAGTCTATTTTAAAGCCAACTGTTTATTTTATGAGTAAAAGTATCTCTATTTCAGCTCTCATCGTTCAATTACCACTTGATTATGAGACAATATGTATTGAGAGCTGAAAGACTTAGGCACACCTCATCCTCCATGCTCTACTTGACAGAACACTTGAACAGGTGGAACTTTCAAATCTTTCCTTAGATTCATCTTTCCTTTTGCCAAGTGCTGCAGGTTATCACACAACTCGCACCAGCCATGAGAACTGATCCCACGATCCTCACACAGCAGATCCTATGTGCATTTTTGGAACAGTCCCTCAGTACAGCCAAAATCAGTGTGTAAATTACTGTGCTAGTCTGCTCAACAAAGCAACTTCCCAGGACAGCCTGTGAATTCTACAAGGAACTATCAAGATTTGATGTAATTAGAAGAGCAACCAAAATCAACCCAGAAATTACTACGCTTTATTATTAGTAATGATATTATTTAGAGAACACAGTTGCGTTGTTGGAGAATAATTTCCCATTAGATCAAAAAGATATGTTTGAAGCAAATTTTCTAGAATTAAATTTTAGTTTTGGCCATGAAAAGAAACTCTCTTTTCTGTGATAACGCAAGAAGAAGCAAAAAAAAAAAAAAAAAAAAAAAAAAAAAAACCAAAAAAACCAACCCAAAGCAAAAACTAAACAAAAGACAAATCCAGCACTAAACCAGGATCAGGACACACCCTAAAGTCTCTTATTGGGATAAATGCCAAAGAGTAAATATTTCATATTACCTCATCTATTTAACTGTGAGACTAATATTTCATTAACCATTTAAATATATGAATGTATGAGATTTACAACATGAGATTTTGACAGTGGAGAGGGCTACACAGTGTTTTCTGAGAAACTCCTAGAAATGTGTATCCAGCCACCGCCAGCCAAGGTCACCAGCAACAGATGTAATGCCTCTGGATAACATATTTAAGATGAGAAAAAGTTATTGCATAGGAGAAACTAAGGACAGAGAAAAAAGTAGTGAGAATATGTGAGAGAAACTCTGCTGACTCTAAGATGGGTGCAGAAGGAAGGGGAGGAGGTGCTGCAGGTGTCAGAGATGCACCCACAGCCCATGGTGATGCAGCTGTGCCCTGCAGCCACAAGTCCATGGGGAGCAGAGATCCACCTGCAGCCCACAGAGGACACCACGGTAGAGCAGGGAGATCCCAAAGGCAGCTGTGACTCCAGTGGACACATCCTGGAGCAGCATCCTGGCAACAACCTGTGGAGCTGTGGAGAGAAGGCCACTCTGGAACAGGTTTGCTGGCAGGTTTGTGACCTTGTGGGGGAGCCAGACTGGAGTGGCCTGTCCCTGAAGGACTGTCTCCCTGAAGGACTTGTGAAAAGAACTTGTGTTGGAACAGTTAGTGAAGAATTGCAGACCTTGGGAAGAACACACACTGGAGAAGCCCATGAAGGACTGTCTCCCATGGGAGAGATGCCACACTGGAAGAGGGGATACACTCTTTTTCTTCCTCTATAAGGAAAAAAGAGTGGCAGAGACGATATGTGATGAACTGACCACAGCCACCATTCCCTGTTCCCTCCTGCAGGGAGATGGCAGAGAACCAAAAATAAAGCTAATCCTGGGAAAAAAAGAGGGAGGAGTGGGGAGCAGGTGTTCAGAAGATCTGGTTTTATTTCTCATTAACCTGTTCTGGTTTAATTGGTAATGAATTCTATTAATTTCACAAATTGAGTCTGTTTTGCCCATGATGGGAACTGGTGAGCGATTTCTCCCTTCCTTATCTCAACCCAGAAGCCTTTTGCTGTATTTTCTCTCCCCTTGTCCAGCTGAGGAGGGGAGTCATAGACCTGCTTTGGTGGGCATCTGGCACCCAGCCAGGGTCACTCACAATGAAGAATAACTTTTCTTCCAGGAAATAATATACAATAACCAAGACAATGGGTTTTCCTGAAGATAAATACTGACATCATAATCTACTATAGAGGCAAATACTACATGCCACCAGTTATCTGCTGATCACTTCCTGCTTATAGATCTCTTTGGAGTCTTTGGAATACTTCATGGAAGAAAAGGAGATCCAGATTGCACTACTTGATGAAAATAAAAAAAAGGTACTTAGTATTTTTCTGGAGGATAGGGGAAACATTGGATCTTGCCAAATAGGTTTGACAGTTTGGGAAAACAAGAAATTAGCAACAAATTCAGAAGACTTCAGGAATTACATGGTAGGACGGTGTATGCATGAGAAAAATCAATGATCTGGGACTGGATACCAATCCCATCCCATGAAAGACAGTTTGATACATAGACGTTAATGTGCACACACACTGAGGCTTTGGTATGTACAGAATTAGACTGGGTTATCTGCAACCAAAGGCAGAAAACTATTAAAGTACACCAGGTGTATCTGCCTCCAAAAACTTGCAACAGAGCACTGCACAAAAAAGGCTTATCTGCATTTTCAATAACTTTAAAGTGGAAATGAGGTACACATTTGGAAACCTGATGAGAGAACAATTAATGAATTTATTGTTTATATTGTTCTTCCTTGAGGCCTTGAGCTTGGAGCAGGCAAAATGATGTTACTGTTAACTATTTAATTTTCTAATCAAAGCTGGCTAGGTAAACCAAAATTATTAAATCAAATAAATTAACAGATAAACCATAATTTTCTACTTTTATGATAAGCATCTGAGGTAAAAGTGGTGGCAGACCCAAATTCTGAGCTCTGGATTAGAACACGAGCTGTGATGGCAGGGCTGGATGAACTGGGCAGGAGAGCATGGAAAGCGATACTATCCCCTTATGACCTTTTTATTTTTGGCTGGAGAACTGATTTTCTTGGGTCACTAACTGTATTTAACCAGTATCTTTGCCAAAACACAAACAGATCTTTACCTCGAAGGCCCCTACATGTTTGGCGTCGTTCTTTTCCTTTTAATTAAAGACTAAAACACGATTTTAATAACAGATCCCGACTTTAAAAGGAGTCTCGCGAAGCCCCGAGGGCCCGTCACGGTCCAGCGCAGCCCCAGCAGCCCGGGCCGCCGCGGATGTTTGACGCTGGGTGTTTAACGCGGCCGGGGAGGAGGGGACAGAGGGACCACCTCGGGAACTCAAACAAAGCGACCCGGAGCATGAGGCGCCGCGGCACCAGCGCTCAGGGCGCTGCACAAAGCAAAGCCCAACTTTTGGCCGGGCGGGCCTTCAGGGGAAGCCCGGTGAGCGGAGCCGGCCCCGAGCCCCCACGGCTGCCCGCGGCCCCCGCAGCCCCGCGGGCTCCACTCGCCGCCCGCCCCGCCGCCGCTTCGGGCCCGCGCGCCCACCTTGGCTACCGAAGAGGCTCCACAGCTTGGCGAAGATGAGGCCCATGCCTAGGCTCGGCTTCCCGCCGAGCGCCCGGGGCTCCCCGAGCTCACCCAGGCGGCAGCAGCGGCGCCGACTCTCCCGTCTCCCTCGCGGAGGCTCCGCAGCGGCCCCGGCAGCGCCGAGCGGGCGGGCGGGCTCAGGGGAGGGCGGGCACGCGGCGCGGCCCCGCCCCGCCAACGGCCGCACATCCCCGCCCCCCCCCGGCGCGGCCGCGCGCGTCACTGCGGCGTCATGTGGGCGTCATGGCGGCGGCGTGTCTGAGGGGACCGGCGCGAGTTTTCCACCGGGGCTGGTGGAATGCCGAGCGGTCTGCGGTCGACACACTCGGGAGGACGGAGCCGCCCCGCAAGGGACGAATGCTGCGAGTAGCGCTAGGCCCCCGCCGCGGTGGGGAGGCGTTGGCAGCGTGCCTTGGCCGGCGCCGTGTCGTGTCCTTTAGCCCGGCGGTCCTGTGGCCGGTCCACGGCCTCTGCCGTTGGGAAGGGTACAGGGTTTCAGTGCTCCCGTGTGCAGTAAAACTTGTGGAAGCAGCGGATTCGCCTTCACGGCTGTGCTGCAGGTTCCTCTACTGAGCGTGGGTGCCCACCCGGATTTCCTCCCAAGCAGCACCTTGGGGAGGGTCAGGAAGTGAGCACGAACCGGGCTCCGCCCTAGCGAGCGAGCCTGCAGTGGAAGTACAAAACCTGTTAACCTGTTACACTCGGCAGAATTTCAGAAAACAAAAAAACAACCAACCAAAAAAAAAAAAAAAAAACCAAAAAAAAGCAATGTCTGCAAAGTCTTGTCCAATAAGATCGGTGCCCTGCGGGCTCTGCTGCCGCCCTCCAGGTGCCGTGGTGGGGTGGGAGCACAGAGGCTGCCGCGGCGTGCCTGGCTCCCATGGTGACACCGGCAGCGGCACTTCCTGCTGCACCCGGAGGAGGCGGGCCCGGCGGCCCGGGTGGTAGGTGTGTGTGGGGCTGTAGGTGTGTGGGGCTGCAGGTGTGTGGGGCTGCAGGTGTGTGTGTCGGGCGGTAGGTGTGTGTGTCGGGCCGTGGGTGTGTGTATCCGGCGGTGGGTCCGGGGCTGCGCGCCGCCGCGGGCGGGCTGAGCGCCCTCCCGTCCCGTCCGGTCCGGCCCGGCACCTCCGTGTTCCGCCCTTCCCGTTGCGGCTCGGGTCCGGCCCGGGCCTGTGTGTGCCTCGGGGTCCGGCGGGGCTGAGGCGGCGGAGGCGGAGTCGCGTCCCGCCGGGGTGCGGCCGCCGGCCCGGTGCCTCGGCTGAGGCGCAGGGCCTGGGCTCTGCGATGGGCTGCGTGTCGCGCTCCTCCCCGCTCCCTCATGTTTTCAGTAGCGGGCGGGCGAGGGAATAAAGGAGAGAGCCCCACGTTCCGCTTCCTGCCACAATGCACTTTCGTTTTCCTCGTGTGGGAAAGCGTGGGCAGGGAGGTTTGAAAATCGTGCTCAGCATCTCTTGTTATTGCTGCGTGTAACTGCTGGTAGCGTTCATGTGCATAGCTGGATCAAAGCCCTGGTCCGGCATCGCGTTCCCCGCTGCAGTTCCCCATAGAGGCAGATAAAAATTGTGAAAAAACAAGTAAAAAGTTTTTCTTCCAAAGCCCGATATACCTTTTCTGGGACAAAGTGTACGGCACAGCAGGTCTGGAGAAAAAAAAAAACTCAGGTACTACGAGCCTGCCTCCTGCTGAACGTTTGAAGTCTGACTGTGGTACTTGAGGGGCACTAGGCAGTCTCCCTCACCAGCCTGGCTCCCTGCTGTATCTGGAGTGAAAAGCATCTCTTGTCCCTTCTCAGCCGTGTTCCCCGGCTTGCAAGAGTGCATTTGTAATGTAAATATTCACATAGCGCTTATAAACACCACATTTCTACACGTCTGCTTAATTATTTTCAGGATTCCAATTCTTTAAAAGATTTAGAATGGATTTTTTTAAAGGGCTGGTTTATTATGCTTCTGAAGAAAAACCTTTCCAAATGTGGGCTGTATGGGGATCCTTTTTTGGTTGGTTTGTTTGGGGTTTTTTGTAGTTTTTTTTTTTTTTTTTTTTTGTGTTTTTTTTTTTTTTTTTTTTTTTTGGTTTTTTGTGTAATGTAGGCATTCTAGGACAACAGGCATATGATATGTCACATTTTCTGAAACATTAAATCTGAGCTTTGGTGATTTCAGTTTTCATCAACTCTTAGATTGTAGTAATATTGTACAATTCGTTTTTGTGGCAATAGGGAAAATTCTTGGCATTTTGTTAGACTGTAAAAAGAAGTTAATTCAATTACAGTTTCTTTCTTTCTTTTAATAGCTGCTAATGTTGCCGAATAACACTTTGAAATTCCTACCCATGAAAATTTCCCATTGTCTGATCTCAAAAGTAAGTCGACATAAGGTCTCATTCTTTTATCATAATGATTTGAATTAAATCAGAAATATTAAAAATAAAAAAATATTCTTGAGGGGTTTTGTATGATAAAAGTGACAACTAATCTCTTATTTAAATAAAATTAATACCAAACATTCTGATCTCTCTTCTCTAAGTATATTTAGTGCAATGAAAATGTATTTCAATAGTCAAAATCCCTTATTATGAATGGAATAAACCTAGAGTGATGTTCTCTCCTTCCGTTTAAGTTGTTGTAAGGAAATCTAAATTTTTAGGTAGTCTCATTTCAGACTCAAGTGTATATAATTTTTCAAAATTTTTAAGGGGTGGGCAGATACCATTTGGGAAGATAACTGTATTTTATTACCTACAGAGAAAAATGATAAAGAGTAAAATAAAATCTCTGTCAGGACTGAGCTACAATAAGACTTTATAGCTGGGCTTTTCAAGAGGAATTAAAGCTACATCTTGAGATTTCCTATACCTTTTATTGATGTATTTTTTTCACCAGATAGCCTGAAGATTTATTTTAAGGATAGTAGAATTTTTTGTAGTTGAGACTAATGTTAGAGTCCTCTCCTGACCAATATTTGGAAATTTGAGTGCAATAAATTTGCATTATTAAAATAGGAAGAATCAGAACCAACAGCTTATTTTGTGGCTACATCTTATGCTAAATTTGTAAACTTACAGAATATAAGAATCACAAAGAAAATTCTTTGCTTATTTCAGTTTCTTGCCAGCAGATTTTAAAAACTAAAGGAAGATGTCCTTTTTCCCTAAAATCGTTTTCCAGTATGAAGTTGAAGAGTATCTCATGAAAGTGTTCAGAAATAATGAGGTATGTGACATAGTTACCCCTAACCATCACAAAATAATAAATTTTTGTGTAACTTTAATACCTTACAATAAAATATTGTCTTCACATTAAACACTGTGTTTTTTATATAAAATATTTCTATATTTAAGATAGAAAATTAGTATTTATGCCCATTGGCTCAAAGTAGCATACAAATATTTAAATCAAATTGAGGATAAATCAGAGAATTCAGTTATTGATCCCATTAAAGAGTGGATCATAGATAATTAAGCACATATTCACCACATGATATTGACAAGAAATATTCCCTTACCCCAGTGTAGAATAATACAGACAATCTTAATAGTTCCTAATACCAAGGATGAAACAATTGCTTTTTAATGTACATGTTTATCAGTATGAAAGTTACTGATTCATGGATTTGAGTTTAGTTTTCCATTTCCTTAGGGCTGGTGTATGTACAATAGCAGAGTTCTGTAGCAGTTGCTTTGATACTTACTGCAAACTGCAGCAGTTTTGCTGATACAGCTGTTTGTCCAGTAAGTATTTTTCAGGAAATTTATGAGGCTTCCAGTGGAATTAGGCTCCCAGACATTTGTCACTATGGCACACCACACAACCATATCCCTCAATTTCCATGGAATGTTTATTCATTGGGGTTCCTTTGTGTTGAGCGAGAGGCATCTGTGTGAATCTCTTAATATAAAATCTCTTCTTTCACTTTCAGCTTATCACTGCTTTAGGTACACAGGAGGCAGAGAAAAAATACCAATCTCTCTTAAGTCATCTATCTCATCCACCAGCTTTTACAACTGTGAGAGTAAATACCCACTTGGCCTCAGTGAAACATGTGAAAAAATTGCTGTTTGAAGAGATCCAGAAGGTTTGTGCAATGTCTTTGTTACAGCAGAATAGCAGGGTCTTTCATCTTTCATCTGAACATGAGACCTTTTCATTACTGGGAGCTATACCTTACCTCAGTGCATCCAGTGGTATTAACATTATGCAATCACACTCATTTCCTGCCAGCATTAAACATTAAATGAAAATTTATTGTGTACCAGTGTCCCTCATCTCATCTCATCTCATCTCATCTCATCTCATCCCTCCAAGAAAGGCAATAACAGAGGGAAAAGACTTCCAACTCTTTTTTTGTATGGCAGATCCAAACCCTTGATAGGATTGAGGTACTGCTGTGGTAAATAATGTAAAGGTGTCATAAATCTGTAAGAGAAGATGACAGATAAGAAAGGAAGCTCAGAGTGCTGTCTTCAGCATGCTTAGAACACTTCTGTTTAAGACTAAAGGAGAATGCCTGTATATCTAGATATGATTGCAGAAACTGTTTAGGAAAGTGAAAAATTGGTTTGTTTTGGAAACTGGATCCATGGTGATGCTCTCCAGCCACTGTATTTTCTTTTTTAAAACCTATTTTTAATCATTATATAATTTTTTTATTTTTACTTATCTTAATTAAACATTTATTTATCTGATAATATGTAAACCATTATATTTAAGAAATGTATTATTTTGAAATTGTGTCCTAGATCTTCACTCTCTCTAAAAAGATATGATTCTTTAAGTAAATTATTAATGCTAGTGGGTGTACAGGGAGCTTTTGCATGACAGGAGCCAAGACATTTCTGTGATGCAGAGGCAGTTGACAGTGTTCTGCTGGCTGGGATGGTAATGAGTTTTGCTAATTTTAGTTTGATTGTAGAAGTCTGGAAATGGATATTGCAGGGTTATATTTTGTTTCAAGGCAAAAGGCTTTGCTGTAAACTGACTTAAGACCAGCTTTTCACAAACTTCTTGTATTTTAAAGTGTGATTACATGGTAGAGAAGGAAACCACATGACACTTTTGAACAGAAGTATGATCATGGATTCTTTACTTTTTTAAGAGAAAATACTTATTTATTACACGCAAACTGATTTATGGTTTTACACGCTTTAAGGTTATATTCTAGAAGGCTCAGATGAGAAGACATAATTCTGTTTAAATCCTGGAACATCTATAAAATGGCATTTTCTTTTCAGCTAAGTACATAACTCAGCTGTCAGTGCCCAAACTTGGACTGGCAAGGAAAATTAAAAGTATTTCCATTATTTCCACTATTAAGTAAGACAAGCAATACATGAATAGAGTTATACAGTGGCTTATAACTAATAACATCTAAGAGTTAACACGGAATACACCCAAGCTTCTAAGGTGGTGTCACTGTGTGTTCTGTGTTCTGACAACAACTCAGCCTTCTTCCAGAAGAAAGCAAAAACCAGTGATAAAGTTATGAGTGTCAGAACACTCTCCCACTCCCTGAAGTTGGTTCTCAGTCAGTCTCTTTGTGGTCTTGTTATTTCTGAATTTGTGGAATATTTAGTCTTCTGCACCAGTATTTTTAATATATAATGCCCCCTTGCACACTATTTCCCAGCTGCTTTTAAGTGTTTTCACTACTTGTGTGTTTTGTGCTCTGCATCTAGAAATTATGAATGGGAAAATGGTATTCAGTTTAATTAAGTATTTAAATATTAAATTTATTACGAGTGCTTACTAATGTTTTTTTAATGAAACAGCAATTTAAAGGACTATGTGTTCCAGTTCTCGAGCACCCAAAACTTCAGGACGTTTTACTAATTCCTGTCATTGGACCCAGGTTTGTAATTTTCAGTCTCTAGCCTTAAAATGTTGTCTAACACAATTTTCTTACAGATTTCTTGTTAAACAGTTGTTATAACTAACTCACTATAACTAAGGCACAACTTCTGTTTTACTGTGACCTGGTGGACAATCCATACACTAACCAGGCCAGAGTTTTACTCTTAAAAAATGAAAGAAAACATAGAGCTCTCTCCTTATTTATAAGACTAATGTTTTAGTGACATGTATGCGTCCTCCCAGAAAGCCTGGTAGGTGGCAGATGGAAGAGCCAAAATTTGCAGTGGAATGTAGAACTATGGCTAAGTACAGGCAGGGTTTTCTTCCACTGGAAGAAATCAAGTGGAATCAAGAGTTCCTCAGCAGTTGTTAAACACAAAGTCACTTTACAATCATCTGGCATAGGAAGGAATAGAGGGCTGTTTCTCAATCCCAGTATAATTTACTTGTATTCCTGTATCAGGTTCATAATAGTAGCAGAAGGTGCCAGAATCTGCATTATTTTGAGGATTGGTTTTCTTCTTGACTCTTTCCTATGATTTCTCTAAAAGTAAAATAAATATTTTACTGTAATACAGTAAAAATATTTTAATTAAATGTAATTGTTTAAATTTCTAAATGTGATACATGATAGTTAACAACTTTTTCTCTATTATATCTGACAAAATCCATATTTGTGAACTAGAGTTTACTTGAGGAGTATTTGGATTTTTTTTTCAGTATACTTTTCTTTTTTATTCAACTGCATTTTGTATTTCTAGGCGAGATTTAAAAAAACATCCATGTGAAGTCATAGTTGGAGCCCAGTGTGGATATGCAGTACTCCGAGGAGCACACGTTTATGTCCCTGGAATTGTGTCCACCTCAAGATGTAAGAGTTCCTAAATACACCCATCTAAGTTGTAAAGATGGCAGAAAAATTGTCCCCCTTGAATAATAGATAAATGCATAGTGACACACAATTGTTTTCTGTTCTCAGCTGAAGTTAATCTTACAGTTGTGGTTTATTGTAATGAGACTTCTTAAAGTTTTTCTGGCTTTTTTTAAAAAATATTTTCAATATTTTTCATTTTACTTATGTTAAGTTATATGTAATTATTTCTCACTAGCCTTGCCTGTTTTAAATTCCTTTTTCCATATAATTTGTGGCTGAAGTATTAATTCTCAAGGATTTCAATTTCTGGTTTTTCATTTCAAAATATTTTTAAAGAGAATTTTCCAACTAAAACCTGTTTTTTTAAGAGTGTTTTTTTTACTACTGAGTACTGTAGCCTTTAATATGGATGCTAAGTTGAATAAACTTAGAAAAGCTGGCTGCTTAAAAGAAATGGGATACCACATCTGGATGGTGACTAGGTGTATCTTGATTATTTAATAGATACAGATTTTTTATTTCTTCACTCAGTCATAAAGCCACTTACCTTCATGGTTCTGTTAGATTTTAAGTTACAGAATCAAAAACCCGCAGATTTTCTTTATTCTAATCCATTGGCAATTCATTTGTTTACATAAGAGTGATGTAGTAAAAATCTTTTTTTTCATTGATGAGAAGAAATTTATGTCAGTTTTTATGTCAGATTCTTAAGAAATAGAAATTATGCATCAATGCCTGTGAGACAGGATAAAAAAGATCTACATATGCATGCTTTTTGTTCAGCAACCTATTTTTGTTCTTTAAATGTCAAATTAGCTTTATGTAAAACCAGTATAATTTTGGATGATTCACCTTATTAGTCTATTGTGATGAGATCTAGTGATCATCTTGATTCTTATTATTAAACAAAATGAGTCAGAAAAACATTTATCAAGTCACTTCATTTCCTTTCAGGAAAAATCCTTCAAGAAGTTTGAGGCATGTGCTGAAGTCCAATTCACTGAACAGGAATGTTTTTCAGTCTAGGGCTTGATAATGAAATAAGTATATTGGCATAGCAGTTGTTGGAACTGCTTATTTACACAACCCCATAAATATTCAAATCCTTCTTTGAGTCAGCTAGTGATTTATCATAATTGCCACATGTAATTATGCATGTAACATCAATTCAAAGAAAATAAAGATACTATAAAACTTATGGAACACTTCAGGGGAATTGCAGATAAGAAAATAAAATAAAAGGGCACACTACCGACTTGATGCCAAATATAATAAAGCTGTATTAAGCACAGATGGTCTAACTAGGGAAAAAAATAGTTCAGCAAGAACACATATTTAATCACTGCACTTGCAATCCAAATGAGGGTAAACTAATGATCAGGGGGCTTTGAGCTTAATTTAACTAATCACACTCTAACCTTTGTGTTTATGGAATGCTGCTATAATCTACAGAAAACTTGAGAACCCTATGCAGGACTAGTGTATTTTGAAAGGATGATAGCAGAGAGTGAAATAAAATAATTTATGTTTGAATACTGCAGAAAACATTGACAGATATGCTTGATGAAAGAGTTAAATTGCTGCAGGTTTTTGTTCTGTGAAGTTTAAGCAGACACTAATACTGAGCAATCACATAATGTTTTGTGTCACATTGTGTAAAAATAAGTAGTGTAAAAAATATATTTTCAATGGCTACCCAACAAATACTACAATTTAAGAATATCAGGGCATTTGGGCATAATCAGAAGGCCACCTGAAAATGGGAAAAAGGATTTTCTAGTACAATTCCAAGAATTCTTGGGAAGCTGAACTGCCCTTAGTCTTGTTTTATCTTCTTGTTCCTCTAGCCTGCCAGTCACCTCAGAAGTGCAGTTTTGGAATTTTTTTTTTATTGCTATTAATAATAATAAAGAGGCCTTTTTTTTAAGCATATTTTTCAACCAGTCAACACATAGCACTTGTTCACTATTATGTAAAGTCACCTAAACCATCCCTTTTCTATTTTTTTTTTCTCTAACTCAGAAAGTTTGTTAAGTCTGTAGGATAACACTTCTAGAGTTTAGTGTTTATTTACATACTTTACTGTGTTTATTTACATACTTTACTGATGTGGTGGGTTTTAATTGGAGATATAAAACTCTCCAACAGGATTATTGAGAACAGCAGTTCCCTTGAAGGGAAGAGAGCCAGACCAGAACAAGAATGTATAATCACTTGTGTCAAAGCAATAAGTAGTTAGAGAAAAAGCAGTTATAGCTATGTTCTTGGTGGCTCTTGAGAGGTCATTGGATGAATTTTGTACTCCTGCCTTTGTTCAGTAAGGGTGAGCAGTGTTGTTTCATGTACTTGTGTGCTTGGAGCAAACATGGAGGACTGGATCTGAAAGGTGTGCTTAAAACTTATGGATGACCTTGCCTTGATAAAATAAATACAATGAGGTTTGTGCAGCCTCTTAGAAAACAAGACACAGTGCCTGACTTGCAGCTGGGTGTCTCTCAGTACCTCCAGTCTTTTGGTAGCTGTCATTCACTGTGTAAAACTTTAAAGCTTTGTATCAGTTGATCTTCTTTCATTATTACATTTAAAAAGTGTGAAGTTTGATATGAGAGAAGAGTTGAAGTAAATGGTCTGCTGAAAATCCTAAGTTACTTGGTCACTACTGTTTTGTTAAATGTCTTAATGATTTCAAGCTTTGTATTTTTCTTTGTGCAGTTGTGAAAGCTGGAGATCTGGTTTCAGTGTATTCAGATATTGAAGGGAAATGCAAAAGAGGAGCCAAAGAATTCAATGGAGTTAAAGTTTTCCTTGGAAATGGAATTTCAGAACTCAGCCGCAGTGAAATCTTCAGTTCAAGTGGCCAACTGAAGTAAGTCCATAGTAATTGCAATCTACATATGAAAATTTGCAAAGGGAAGGAAGAAAATGGGAAAACACTTTGAATTATTTTGTACCCTATGTGAAGTCACAAAATGGCTTTGCATGTTGGGATTTCCAGTATTTTTTGAGAAGCCGTAAGTTTCATAGTGGGATTCAGATACCAATTTACTTGCAAGGTAGGAGGAAATAAGTGGGGGTCTTTTAATAATTTATGTTTATTCAGTTCAATAGTATCAAACAAAACTGACAAATGTTCCTACTCTGGCAAAATTGCATTTTGGTGAATTGTGTAGTACTACTTCCTTCTTTAGATGGAACAGAAGTGAAGCCTTGTCAATTTCTCCATCTTTTAAGAATATCTGTAGGGGCTTTCTTTTTTTTGGTGGGACAAAGAACAGAACATAAGGTCAAAAAAAATTACTAACATTTGCCAAAGTAGTTACTATTTCAAGATTACTTGTTCTTCTATTTTGTTGATGAAGGATATGGTTTATTCCTCTCGTGTCACCTAAAACACATATAAAAAAGTAATGTACAAGACTATGGATGTCAATTAATGACCAAGACTTTACTTCCTGAGAACAGACTACAAAAGTTCTAGTGAAAAAAAGTACCTTGCCAAAGAATTTCTGATTTATAAGAGCTTAAATATAGCAAAAGTAGTGGTAGGATGTAGCTGTGGAGTTGGTGACATGGAACAACAGTATGTAACACTAAATCTGGTGTCTGCAAGTTTCCTTTCTCATATCCTTCCTTCTCATTGGACATAGGCAAAATAATACTCTCTTTAGTAATCTTTTGTTTGTAGACTCAGTGTTGCTTTTTCATGGCTTTCTCTTTATTGTTATCCATTTCCTGGTACATTGGTTTAACAATTATATCTGCATCAGAATTTCCTCCATATTTAAAACTTCTAGGTGACTTTTAATTTCAAACCATAGCTTTGCAGGCAAATCAATGTTCCTGCAAGGCTTTTCATATAGGATTTCTGTAGTAATTTGACTGAAATCTCAGGAATTTAGGAAATGGAGGAAAATCTAACTAGGAAATCACATGCCAGTGCCCTAGCCAAAAGCAGTTATGGATTGAAGTTAAGGTATTTATGCATTTATTTACAGTATCAAGGCTTGAATTCCATCTTGGTTTATCCTGTGTACAGAACCAGAAATTTCCTTTATGCAATTTTACAGATAGTTCCAATTTATCATGTAAGGCATTTTTTGCCATGATTAACTCAACTTTGATGATGGCATTCTAGAGGATTTTTCTAGAAGTATTTTTCTTGGTTGTTCTTTCATTCTTGTAAGATTGTTGTCTCAAGTTGCTATTTGTAAGCATGATTATTTTAATTCACTGCTGTTAGAATGTATAAAACTGAGTATTTGAAATTTTTTCATGTTTTTCAGGGGGCTGGGCATAAGAATGATAGAGCCAGTCTACCTTAGTCCTTCATTTGACAATGTGCTCCCTAGTCATTTGTTTTTACAGGTATGTTTGTTCCAAAATCAAAAGTCTGTACTCTTTATAGAATAATGAATATTCTCTTAGCACACATTCATAGTTCCTACATTTCTTGTTCATTGTAGCACCTAATTCAGTCTTTGGATTTGAGGAACACAAAGCATTTAAAATGAAGTCAGTATCTACATGTAGGTGGTTTAATCATACTGTGTCTGAGCTATGATGAGAGATTTCAAAGCAACATAAGAGATACTCACTTAAAAACATGGAAATTCCTCTTGCAGATACTCTGCATACAGCTGTTAGTTTTTGGAATCTGCCTATGAACCCTGCAATATGAGCCCCTTTCAAGGTACATAATTCTGTAGATAATCAGGAAATTCTCCAAATATTAGGTTGATTTGAAGCTGTTATGTAAGTACTAAAGACAACTTTAAAAGGTTTTTATACCTTTGTGTTGAACTGAGAAGAAAGTACTTCCATATTGTCTAAGGTGCAGTACTGTGCAGTCATTGCACATTATTTCTCTTCAGTGCATCTGTACAGTTAATAGCACAGTTCAGCTTCTTGCTACTTTAATTCAGCAAGCTTAGACTTCTAAGTGTGTTTTGATTTTACTATTCTTTAGCTGCACCACTATGTTAATATAGTAAATATTCCAGGAAACAGGTTAATATAAAGTATTTGTAATAAACAGAGTTGCTCTGCTCTGTGCCAGTGTCAGCTTATTTTAGCTGGACTTTTAGCACTGTAGTCTCCTCAGTCATGAGCTCTTAAACTTCAGCCAGATACTGAGACATAGCTTTAAATAAAAAATGAGCCACTGGAGACTTCTTACGTAAACTGTCCGTTATATATAATACAAACAGTTCATTTTCTGTCAAAGAACTGAGAGCAATATCCTAGGTATCTTCCCTGCTGAATGAATTATATTTTTAAACGCGTTTGCCATTCCTTAATAAAGGAGTTGATGCAGGGTATAAAATTTGAATTCTCCCATATTTGTTTTTATTATAGAATTTACCTTCTGTGGTTGTGAGCCATATTTTAAACCCTCAACCAGGAGAGAAAATTTTGGATATGTGTGCTGCACCTGGAGGAAAAACAACCCATCTTGCAGCACTAATGCATGATCAGGTAAGAGAAGTAATTTGGCATTTTCTAAGGAAGAAAGTCTGACCTCTGTTCATTTGGATAGCTCTCTTCACTTACTCTTAGAATGCACAGATAATTTACAGCAGCAAACAATTGATATTTTGACATTTTACTTACAAATGTAATTTGCTACACATCAGTTACTGAGATGGGCAACAGACAATCTTTATCAAGTATTTACCATCAGCTTTAAAATCTTTTTTGCTACAGATTGATAGTTGAAATATATCTAATTTCACTTTTTAAAATGTTATTGAATTATTTTTAATCATAGAATTTTTTACATGCAAGGCATAGTTATGCAAGAATATGCTGGGTTCATGAAACTGAGATGTATAAAAATCAGGGGTTATGAATGTGTGCCAAAGAAACACACAACTCTGCAAAAATTTACTAAAAAATTTCTAATCTGGTTAGGATTTTTCTCAGTAAAAATTATCAATTCTGCATGGAGATATGATTTTAGGCTGAATTTCTAGTCTGAATTTGTCATTATATGGTAGAATGTCACAAAATCCAAACCTATCTAGTGAGAAAGCAACAAAAATCAGAAGAAACAAAAAATATGTAGAGAAAGACAAAGGAGAGGAGAATGTAATAAAATAAGAATGTAAGTACAGGATTACAGCTTTGCATATGTTGAAATGTTATGTGCATGGTGAAATAGAGAAATTCAGGTTACTCTTCTTGAGGAGAGGGGAGAAGCATGTAAGATTTCCTCTAAAATTTTGTAAGACTTTATTATTTTTGTTGAAATAGGGTTATTAGAATATATCAGATTGTTTAGAAGTCTTGCAGTTACATTATGCAGTACTTTGACAGGTGCCTGTGCATAAATGTGAAGGCACAGCATGTAATGGTATGAATGCTTTGAGGAAAGGCTTGTATTCAGTTCTGTGATGGTTTGTCTGTGGAAATGTTTTTTTCCATCAGTTTGGAACAATGGGAAGGCATTAATAATGCATTAGACAGTCATTAGACATTTTATATATATATATAAAGCTTCCAGTAGAGAATTTCAGTGTGATAAATAAGGGAAGTCTGCAAATTATATATTTATGTCATGGATTCATTTACATCTATATTTTTTTCCATCTGTGTATCTACATTTTGTATACCTTTGCAGAACTGCTTTGATTCTGCTTGCCTGCAGCTGATGTGGTAAAGATGAAGAATACAGATGCTAAATATTTATCTCACTTGATTTTCATTTTCTGAGTATATAATTTTAATTTAAGATATGGAAGATAAAGGTATGGAAAAAAAACACTTATTTTTCAAGAATCAGGATTTTAAATTCCATTCACAGATTTTCCATAGTAATTTTTCACAGACAGCATATTAAACCACTAACATTTCAGAATATTTAAATCACTTACTTTTTTGTGATTTAATTTTGACATTACTATATTGTTTTTAAATTATATAACCAAGATTAAATTATATAACCAAGATTACTCTGTAATGTTAAGAGCTCTTAAATAAGAATCAGGAATACTTAAAGCTTGAGAATTTATTATTATCTGCATCCCAGTCTAGACCACTGTTTTTTCAGATGTCTTATAAGTAGTTGTTCTGGCAGTAGCTGGCATGGCCCAAATGGAGAAGAGTTGTCTGGCAGCTTGTTCTTTTCTCTGGAGAAAAGAACAGAGAAGCTGTGAATAGCCCGTCCCTGGAAGTGTTCAAGGCCAGCCTGGATGGGGCTCTGAGCAGCCTGCTCTAGTGGAAGGTGTCTCTGCCCATGGTGGGTGGGTTGAGCTAGATGGTCTTGCAGATTCCTTCCAACCCAAACCATTGTGGTTCTATTATCTCTTTATCCCTGCAGTATGCAGAGATGTGCACCAGATCCACTGTTCTTGCAACAGATGAAACTTTGAAGCCCAGTCAGGTCCTAGAGTACATGTGCAATAGATTGGATGAGCTAGGGGACGAGTAGGAGGTGCTTTGGCTCAGCAGCTGAACACGGCACCGCTGACACAACCTAAATCCATTCTTACCTCTCAGTCCTAGATCTGCATATTGCCTAACGTGACATACAGATAACAGCTTATCTTTACTGACTTTTTTTTACTTCTTAAACTTAGTCATTTTACCCTTCTATAAGCCTCTAGAGAGCCATCACCAAATAGATAAAAATTGTTGTTTTCTCAGCATATTGTGTTTGCTGTAAAAAGTTTGGTACAAGTTTTTGGTTGTTGGGTTGTTTTGTTCTGAATTTTACTGATGCTACATTTTACTTTCCTTTGTGTTCACAGATTTCATGTAGCAGGTAGTGCTGTGTGTCTATTTTGATTTATTTTGGGGGAGGAAAAAAGAAATCTATTTTTACAGAATAGAAATTGCGTAATTGTGATTTCCCTCCCCTCACCTTTAGACTTATTCTAGTATTTACACTATTTCCCAAAGTAACTTGCAAGTATTCCAATGTGTTATGAGTTTGACCAAGTCAGAGACATGGCTGTGGACCCAATTTCCTTAGCTCTGAGCTGTAGTGTGATCATATTTCCTACTCTCTCCATACAAATTTAAAACCTGTTGACCTATTTTACCATGTATTTGAGGCTTCTACCCTCATTCAAATGATTAAATTTTTATCTTAGCGCCCAGTTCAGCAGTTCAAAACAAACAAAAATATATAAACAACAAAACCACTTGCCAGAAGTCAGATATTACAGCATTCCTTAGAGTGACAATGCCAAGCGTGGCTTAAGACTAACGTGGCTATTGTGGAAAACATGTGGGAACAAGGACTGCAGGAGTGTGGATTTAAGAATAAAATAGTTCTGTGGGGAAGACTATGCTTTATTTATTACACTTCCCAGGACTGGGAAAGGAAATTGGAAACATCCATTTAATCATTATGTTTTTGATGAAAACTTCGGGATTTTTTTCAGGGTGAAGTTATAGCCATGGACAAGATAGCTAACAAGATCAAGAAAATCAAGCAGAATGCTGAATTGCTACAGTTGAATTGCATTAAAGTCTTTTGCTATGATGGAACAAAGGCCCTTTCAGAAGAGAAGAGAGAGGATAAACAAGGTAAAAGAAACAATTTAGGTAGTAGTGGCTTTTAGAAGAACATAGTAATGTTTTGCAAAAACAGTATTAAACCTGTCACAGGTTTAAATCTTAGCAGATACCAAAGTTGCCTCAGCACTGTGAATGCACTTTTATTTTCCACTCTTTTGTGATTATCAGCTTCTCTATGAAGCAAATAGAAAGTCAAATTATCTGTCCTTGTCACAACCTAATATTCTCAAAGGAAATGCATTCCTTTCCCAGATAATATCAAAGACTGAAGAAGCCTTAAAGCTTCTTTCATGATCACATTTAACCCCATACTGGGAAGTTTATGAGTTAGTCTGAGAAAAAAATTATTTTTGCAGGCTTGCTTCACTTTTCTGTCTCATAATCCTCATCAGTAAAATGGGGTTATTAATACCTAACTCCCAAGAGTGCTGCAAGGTTTAGTTCATCGATGTTTGTTCAGCTGTTCAACGGAAAGTTATATACAAGCACAGTGTATTATTTTAAGTAATTTCATTTGCTTTTTTGATGTGATGCAGTTATGATATTGGTTCTGTTCCCATGATGGAATGATTTAAATGGTATCTGCTGCCTTGATTATTTTTAGTTTGTTGTGCAAAGTATGCTGTTCTTTCTCAGTCTATTTTATCTCAGTCACTGGTTAGCCTAAGTAGGAATCAGATTACATAATTCACCTTCTTTGTCCCTATGCATTGCAGTTTTTCCTGCTTTGGAGGAACAAAGGTACTTTCCTAAGAGTCTTTTTATGAACATCAAATATTGTAGGTGGCAAGTAGCAATTACAGAGATTAACTAGAGCAAGCTGTAATACTGAGAGATAATGAATGCTTTTCTGTACATTCCTGCAAGTAACACATTACATATTTTGAACATTTTAGTAATGGATCAGAGGTAGATAAACCAGATAGACTAATTTTGGAGTCAGGAAAAAGCTAGGTAGCAGTGGTGTGATAATACAAGTTTGGCAGCAGTAGTACATGGTGATGCTGAGCCAATCTCCCTAGCACTGAGCAGATAGAAACTACTGGGCTGTTGAGCCATTGGGGTACATTTAAAGGATAGGCTCTGCATATGGAAGATACATATTGTCATCCAGGTAATAGTCAGAAATTGTTCTCTTCAGCTTTCTTACTGAATTGTTCTGCCATGAGAAGTTGCAGTAGTTCATATTATTATGAAGTCCTTGATTTTATACAGCTATGCATACATCGCAAGAAATAGTTCTATAGACAGTCCAGTTATTATAAGGCAGTCTCAGTGATTAACTACAGGTTTGTCTCAGTAAAGGTTTGCACACTTTTGAGCTGACTCTGGTTCTTTACAGACTATATGTACAACTGGTACCCAGCACATGTGAACAATTATATTTCAACATTTTTGATCACTTTTACATTTTATTTTCAAATTACTAAATTAATTAAAAAAAAAATACTGCCTAGTGGGGTCATTTTTGAGCTCACAGAACTTAAACTGTTCAGTTTTCTGGGAGATGAAAACTACCACCAGCAGTGCTGAGGCTTGTCTCTAGCTGAGACTAGTTTTGCAGACACTGTCTGTAGCACATAAATGTTTTATGTCAAGGAAGCAGTGACAGCCTCTCCTTACCTGCAGTGAAGCCTCAAGGAAGGACACAGCTCCATTTTACATTGCTAACTGCTTTTTTCAGATGGACCTCCATTCTTACCAGAGTCATTTGATCGAATTCTTCTTGATGCTCCATGTAGTGGGATGGGACAGAGACCAAACATGGTTTATTCCTCAACTTTAAAGGAAGTGACCTCCTATCAGCCACTACAGCGCAAGCTTTTCACTGTGGTATGTGTTAAACATTGAGTAGATCAGCTGAATTGAACACAAATGCTTTTGCAGCATAAAACTTGCCCAAAAAGCAGTCCCTCATTTTCCCTACTTTTTCAGCAGCCAGGAATTATTAGGGTCCTGTTAAACCTCTCAGCTCCACCAGATCTGTTGCTAGGTGAAGCCAGTTCATTGGAGCATGGTAAAGGTCTGTGTAATCCATAATAAATAAAAAGCTTTGTGTTTTTTTAATTCCCTCAGTTTCATCAGTTTTACATGATAATAATTACAAAAGTCTAAGTCACAGAGCAGGTGACTTAGGAACATGCTAAGGAGTGTGCTTGGGCTGATGCTGAAGGATAAGATGAAACTTGTCAAAATCTGAATGATACATATTCAAAGTGAATGACAGCTTGAAAAGCAGCATAGATATAGCTTCCATGCCAAATACATGGAAACAGTTGACATCTAATGTAAGTGACATAAGTATTGTGTATCCATGGTTGGCAGCAGGTGGTGAAAACAGATCTAATCTGTCTGGGGTATGCAGAGCTGCACAAATAACAAATCTTACAAGGTGAATCATCTCAATGACATTAATAAATTGCATGAGCTATAATGCCTATGTGGAAAGAAGAATCTTTCTAATCCATGTTATTCTTCGCTGTATTCTCTCAGAGAAATTAGTATCTTAACACTTAAAGTTTAATTAAGTGTTCAGTTTTAATATTGTAGGTATGTGGTTTATTAGTTAATGTTGCTTAATAAGAAAGTTTGAAATTTAAAAATAAGCTGAAATATTGTTTATTTTTGCCTGCAGGCAGTGAAATTGCTGAAGCCAGGAGGTGTTTTAGTATATAGTACATGTACAATTACACTTTCTGAAAATGAGGAGCAAGTTGCTTGGGCCTTGAAAACTTTTCCATGTCTCCAGCTTCATCCACAGGTAATACTATTTTCAGGGTACTTTGCACAATCTAGTGATCTCATTTTGGAACTATAAAGTTACGTGGTATATTTTCTAACAATAAATCTTTTTCTCACCCTGGACAGCTTTAACTGCTGTGGCTAGAAATAACAGAAGGAATTTGAGGCTTTTTAAAGTCTGTTTTTGTGCTTAATTGAGCTTTATTTAGGCCTCATTAAGTATTTTCCCACTCTGTATTGTTTTAAAACATAACAGGGACAAAAGATAGGTTGGGCAGGTTGAAATTTGTCTTGCAATTTCTTTAATTTCTTTAATATTTTATTATCGTCTTTTGTACATTCACAGGGGAGGTGAAGTGCTTTTTTTTTTTTATTAATGCCACTGAAGTCATGAACACTTGCATATGTATGGGACATAAATGAAACTAAATTTTTGTTTCAAAGAAGGAGGATGTTATTTGTATGGGACCTACTTTTGATTTATTTAAAAGGAATGAGGGAAAGAAATTATTTCAGGCTCACTGTCTCAAGAATGTACCTTGTCTTTTTTGGAGTCAGTTTCTACCATTAAGATGTCAGGGAGGAGTTAATTTATATAGGGAGATACTGGAATGTTTTTATCTATACTAGCTACAGTTCATACAATTGAGAAATATCTGTTACCTTTCGTAGTGCTTCAGGGGGGTTTATCATCACACCACGTGTGTCCCACTTCCTCCTTGATGAGGAGTTGGGTGTGGTAGTTGTTTATCATCATGGCTTTGAGGAAAAGTCTGACTCTGATACCTGTTTTGCTTACACATTCTGTGATGACTTGTACCTGTCTTAAAAAGCTTAGATGAATCTTTAACTGAAATTAAAAAAAAATACAATAGCTGTTCAATGAGCAATTAATATGATGGTTGGTAAAGATTTAACAGAACTGAAGCTCTTCATCAAAAATTTTTATGGTGAGTTTTTCTGTCTGTATTCTCACCATCCATTCACTAAGAATTTTTCAGTTCCAGACATCTCAACTGAGATTATACATGTAACCTAACAGCAGAAAAAATCCTCCTGGGTAGAATGACAGAGCAAAACACAAGCCTTATTAACTCAAATGCAAGATTAATTCTTGCTATATAAACTTTCTCTCACCAGTAAGATCAGTCTTGAATAAAGCACTGTTTTTCACACACACATGCCATATCTGTAAAAATTAATCTTTTATGTATAGTATATTTTAAATGAGATGACATTGAATTGTTTACCCACATATAATTTATAATACCTTAGAACCAGTTCCCTACCAGTGTAAACTAAGGTATTATTTTCCAATGAACATGAAGCAGGAGTCTACAGTCTACTTACCTCAGGTTCCTTTATGTATTTATTTCCCATATTCTTTAGAATGTCTCAGTGGATGCCTCCTTTTTTATCCAGTCCACTGTTTCCTACTTTCTCAGTTTGGCAGCAGATCCTGGAAGCACACTGGGTAATGTGGGCAAGGAAAAAACAGGAGATGGAGCCATAAGTGTTGTTCTTGTAGGTGGAAGTTACCACATGGCAGCTGCTCCTTTGTGCAGACTTCCTCTTAGGAGTTTACACAGGAGATACTGTAGATCAGCTTAAATGCAGTAACTTAACTGGAGGGAGAAATGAAGAGGTAGAGGAAGACACTGGTCTGCCTCTAATCAAGTTACTTGAACCTGTGGAATATTGTTTTCCCTGGATTTTCCCTTTCCTTCCATCCATTACATCAAGACGCTACCCTTGTCTCCCTTTGTATGTTACTTTTCTCTCAATTTGCAGTAGACACCTGTGTTTGTCTTTTACCTTTCAAGGGAAAGCCCTGAAATCCTGCTCAGGGAAAGGGGGAATCAGTGTGCAGCCCCTTGGCTGCCCAGCTCTCCAGCATGCAGCACGTGGTGAAGCAGCTAACTCACATCATGTGCTGACTGGGTGAGCTCATATGTTAACAAAGTGTGATGGCTGAAAAAACACTCTGCTGTAGGCTGCATTATGGACTACATTAGACTAGATTGACAAAGGAGATCTATTTTTGATATTGCAGTGCCAGCTTTTGCACACTTTGTTCCATCTCCTCACTGAATGCATTGAAAGAACAATCCAGCTAAGAATTAATTTTTTCCAGGAATTAGGGTATTAAATAAGAAGCAGTCAAGGCTATTCACAAGAAATATTGAGAAGAGGGCTGGGATTTTAAGTCCTTCTCCTCTCCAGGATTTTGAAGCCAGATGTTATCTCTTGAAATTGATTCTTCCTCTTTTTCTCTGCCTCATAGACAGGCACATGTAACAGTAGTCCTATTTACCTGTTAGTCTTAAGTGACTAGAAAACTCAAAGGTTATATTTTTTTGCTACATCATCTGCCAAAATGATGCCTCTTCAAGCAGTAAAATATTCAGGAGTGGGGCTTTAAGTGTCTCCAGTTGAATTTACTGTGAGGAATCCTGGTATTTTAGGTTGGACATTAAGAAGTTCTTCACAAAGAGAGTGATTGAGTGTTGGAATGGGCTGCCCAAGAAGGTGGTGGAGTCACAGTCCCTGTGGGTGTTTAAGGGAAGACTGGATTGCAGTTGGTGCCATGGTACAGTAAACAGGATGGTGTTAGGTTGTAGGTTGGATTTGATGATTTCCAAGGTCTTTTCCAACCTAGCTGTCTCTGGAATTCTGCTGCTGTTAGTGGTAATGGGCTAAGGACTCACTTTTTTTGACTTAACTCATAGCTGTTAAGTCAGTACACAGAAGTGCTGGATTATTTAGAAGTGGCAACCTAAACCGTTTAGACTGGCTGGCTGGTGGTAACAGCTTTCTTGGGATGTTTCAGCCCTTGGAGTAAGGAATTCTTTTAGACCTGTGCACCTATCCTCAAAAAGTGCTCTAAACTACAGAGATAAAGTGGATGAGGGGCATCACCCCCTCCTCAAAATACTTACTCAAAATACCCCCTCCTCAATATATCTTGTATAAATCTTGTATGTATGTTTAAATAATATTGGCCAGGTGAAGGCAAGAAAAGAAGCCACATTACTTCTGGATCTTTTGGTGTGAGAAATACAAGCATAGCTTGTCCATGTTAATTGTTCAGTAGCTCTGGATATCCTCAGCAGAATACATTTTAGGGCATTTAGGAACTTTAGAGATGCAATAATTTGCTTTTCTTTATTACTTGAACAGGAACCTCACATTGGAGGAGAAGGCATGAAGGGAGCTGGACTATCACTTGATCAGTTGAAGCTGCTCCAGAGATTTGATCCATCTGCTGTGACATTGCAAGGAATGGATATCAATTCTTTGCAAGATTCTAGAGAAGATGACCTGATTTCTTTGGCAAATAAAGACTGTATAGGATTTTTCATTGCAAAATTTATTAAATCGAACAGTAAATAAGGATTTGGGAATGCAACCTGAAAAAATACCTCAGCGAGTCTAAGAACAGTTCAGACGTGAAGTGCCTTTCTTCCTGCTGCAATGTTACCAAGCCAACGGGCTGACGGCAGGGTTGCTATGGCAGCACTAAAATCTGCCAGCTGTTCTGATGGGAAAGAGCCACAGGTTGCAGCAGAAAAGTCATGGCTGGGGGAAGGGCAGTATCATTTGTAAGTCTCCCTCTGCTTTTGTATTTACAGCAGGTCAGTGCCTGAGTGACAGCTATGTTCACTGATACTGCTGCCTGCTCTGGTGCATACCCTCATCTGGTGCAGCAAGCGTAGGAGGGGGATGTAAGTTACTTTACAAAATGCAAACATAAAAAAATATATGGGAACTATTACAATGACTTTTGGAAAGGGTAGTTTCTATGGAGGTTTACCAGTAGTTAGTTTCCTTAAATAGTGCTTCTCAAAACACTGCAACATTTTACAAAGAACTGTTTTATAAATTGATACTTAGAACCTCATTTCTCTTTTATTTTAATACAAGCAAGATTCTCTGTACACATAGTATATACACAAAATACGATTAGGCTTTGTAGCATGTCTTTTATAGCAGCATGAATATATTAAACCATCTCACTCTGGGAATGTAAATAAATATTGTTTCAACATCAAACTTCCCATGCATAAACTGTATTGGTTCTGAAATAGCCTATTGGACTGGCTGACAAGTGACAGTTTTAAAATCAAACATTTGTAACAGAAGGGGCTACAGTTATGATTAATATATCAAAAGACAGAAAACAATGCGTAATACCATCTGAAATGTTGCAAATCACCTTTCGAACAACTAAGGATATTAACTCTTTATTGGTCAGAAAGCATCACCAGCTAAAATCATGAAAATTGAAACTGGGGAAGCATGCTAATGAAAACTGCCTTACTACATTGCTCAAAGTTTAAATAATCTGAATTTCTTAAAAGATGTTAGATGTATTTGAAAATTCTGCTTCAGTTCCAGTTTGAACAGTATTCTCAGTCCTGCTGGAACTGACAATAACACTAGAGAAGGAAAGCTAAGGACAAGGAAAAACAGAAACTGACATCTGTGTGTGTTTGGTGTTTTCCTCTCACTCGATCAATTTCCAGTTTTAAAAAGCATTATCTGATAAAGTCTGTCTTTTCACACATAATTATTTGGTTGGATTAAAAAGAGCAATAGTTCTTTTATCATTTGTCTTTCTACTGTAAGAAGTGTGTTTTGTATTTGCTCACAGTCAAAACCATCTATAAATCCGCCTTCTCGGTAGTCTGGTTGTTTACTTATATTTTCCATAAATGTTTTGATACACTATGTTTTCTACTGCTCTTGAATAAAAACAAAATGTTTCTTCTGACCTGCCAAGGTTGACAAGTGAATCCTCTGTAAGGCCTATCCTAGCAGGATAGGAAAATGGAATTCTTGTTGGTCATTCCTTGCCATTAAACACACCACATCTAAAGAAAATTTAAATTAATTTTGTTTCATCAGTAGTAGGTGAGATATCCTATTTAGAGTCATGTAAGTTCATACTATAATCTTTCTAGTCTAAATATGGTGAAAATGATTACCTGGGAACAAAAAGGATGAATCTTTTATTGTAGGAACGTGTTGAAATCTTTAACTCAGTGCCAGTAAAAAAGCATTTTCTTTTTTGCAGATTATAGAAATTTTGTAAACATTAATCAGCACACATAAACTATATACTGAAGTCTGTGTATTCATATAAAGTAAGGAACTTGACCTCCAGTTTCAGTAGCAGGATTTGTGCAATGCTGAGTTTGAAAGAATTAAGATTGCTGAATTTTTAGTGGAATATTTGTTGAGACATCTCCCACTTCCTTTAGGTTTGGATTATAGGCATTTTAAGGAAGTGACCTCACTTGATATTATAGGAGAAGTTTCTTGGGGTGGGAAGAAAACGTAACTAATTTTTAGTTAATTCCAGTGCAATTGCAGAGCAGACTTCACCTGAAAAAGTTACTGATACATGAACTTTAGCTGTTAAGGTTGTTTCTGCAAAAGTCAGCTGGGAAGAAGAGCGCTCAGCAGAGTGAAGGGATTGGCCCGAGCTGTTTGCCAAGGGCCCTGTCCCTGCTGGGAACGGGGGAGTGACTTCGTCAGGCAGGTCAGAACAGAAACTCAGTTAAGATGCACCAGCCCTTGAAGGAGCCAGCATCCTTTCTCTCACTACAGGTGTGGCTAAATTAGATGAATAAAGTTGGATGGATGCCCTTTTTTTTTTTCTATTCCAATCTTACTGTGACTTCAGAAGTGGTAGGAATACTTTCTCATTGACAGTTCTGATGGATGGTGTATATATGTTTTAAACATATCATACGATTACTTTCCTGATAGTCTTTACACACTGAATCGTTGTGCTTCACCAGCTGATGCTGAAACACAATAAAATATATTTATATATATATTTTAATATATATATATGAGATATTTATATATTAAATTTAAAAATTTATTGTCATTATAATGAAAGATTAAACCTACAAAATAGATAGATTAGGCATGCAATCAGATCCTGTCGTTAAGAAAGTTGGAAAAGTAGTTTTCTCTATTTGCAGAAGTAATGATTAGTAATAGTGCCAAATCTAAATATCTTGGTCAGTAGAAAGATCCTAAAATAGGCAGCCTCATATATTATGAAATTATAATACAGCTTTTTCTTGTTTCAATGTAACGGAATGCACCAGTTTTTTCGATCACTGGATTTCATATGCTTTTTAAGGAATGGGCTAGTGAGGGTGATCAATCAAGAAATTACTTTAGAGTGGGTAGTTTAAAATATAAAGAGCCTTGTTTTTATGTCTGATTGTTCATGAATAAGAAATTTATGAGAAAATCCAATTTTGTACTGCTAGAATTCATTGCAGAGTAGGTATGCATGACAGATAAAAGTGGCAAGAATAAAGGAAGAAATGAGAATATGGATGAGTTAAAAGAACCTGCTTAATCTCTATTATATCTGATAGAAACCTTTTCTGGGGCTGCGTAGGAATACATTTCTAGGGTGGTAAGTTATAAAAAGAAACTCTATAAAACTACTGTAAGCTCATATGTAATAGTTTGTTATATAAAAGTGGGGAAATAAATTACAGACAAATTGCCAAGCAATAAAATTGATTGAATAACATTTGATTAATAACATTCACAGTAAAAATAGCATCCACATATCTTACAGATGGTAGAAGAACTAAGATTTTGGTGAATGATCTGCAATAAAGTAATAAATATAAGTAAATGTACACCAGAAATGTTATATTACATTCTGAAAAATAATTTCTCTGTGTAGACTTCGTAATAAAGTTTTTTGCAATGTGCTTGGTATTTATGGATGGAATAGAATGAAAGTCAAAAACATTTGGAAAACAGCTTTCAGCCTGATGTTCTAAAGCAATCAGAGGTCAACTGTAACGACAAATCAAAATACCTTTTGAAGAGGTTTTAGTAACTAACAAACACAGGAGGTGGTTTACACCAGCTCTTTTCCTTTGAACATCCACTGATTAAAAGCAGTCAGACCACTCACTTCATTCCAGCTGAGGGAATGATAATGGACCCCATTAAAACCTTTGCAGGTGTCCCAGAACGTGAGCATGACTTTACAAACCAACAGAGCTTCAAAATGGTAATTGCCAACAGATTAATAAAAGACAAAGTATTAAGGGGCAGTGTATTAGGTCTGGGCAGGAGCTGCGTGTACAGGATGAGTAACCAGCTATGCAGGGAGACGTAAAAATGGGCTTCTCCCTTAATTCAGGGTTCAGTGAGTGCAATTTCATTTCCTTATCCTCCATTTATGATAAGGGCTATAGGTTAAGAGTATACAGATTTCTGTGAAAAGAGGTGCTCCTCTGAAACTCTTTGTGGCTTTAAAACTGATCTTTGTTGTATAAGTCCAGAGCCTTATGAGAAACTATGTATTTAACTTTATTCCTTGAGAAGCAAAAACTATGGAACTGTTCAAATTCTGAACTCTTGATGCCAGATACAGAATGAATTCATGAGCATTCTAGAAGAATTCTTTAAATTCTAGGCAGTAATTTATAGATCAATTTAGTAAAAATAGTGTTTTCAGCATATAATTCATACTGATGCTGCCTTTGTGCACAAACCTGTTTGCTTATTCGTCCTCACTGTCCTGTCCCTTAGCAGGTCTGGAGACTTTTACTGTCATCTCTTTCCAGTCCCTCTGGAAGAGAATTCCTTCTTCCATGACATCTCTGTGACACTAGACAACTGGTAAAGGATAGACTAAGGCTACTCAGCACTGATGTATAGTCACTTGAAAAAACACATAAAAATAAGGTTAACATCTAACATATACATGCAGATCTTGAAACGCATCCCATTTCTTCCATATACTGAAATTCTTTAGAAAAATACAGAGTTGAGCTGCCAAGACTTACATATCACTTAACTATTTTATCTTCCTCCCTTTCCTTCTGCTTCCCTGGTTTTATTATCTTTTTAGTTCATCTGAATGGAAATTTTACAGATTGTTTTGTGCCACACATCCATAAGACTGGAGCTCACTGGGACCTCTACCATTTCTCAAATTCAAAACCCCTGAAACCAGATACGGAAGTATGAACTCATTAGTATCCTAATGCAACCATTAGACCTTCTAATGGCAAAACTCTGCAAAGACATTTCATCACAATAATCTTTGATATGTCCTCCACTTGGAGTATTTTTAAAGCTTCTTATTGACATAACTCTGTTAAAGTGCTTTTCAAAGTAGTGCTCAGCAGGCAGGTGGTATTGTGCAATATATGTAGTACAAGCTCACATTACAAATGATTTGTCACTCTTAAAACAGAAACTGAAAAAAAGTATCTCAGCTAATAAAATCTATTCAGTGAGTCTGCCTAAGAAATACACGTGTTTGGTAGTATGTTGTCTATACATAAATAGCAGCACTATATAAAACACAATTCTATGAACCAGTTGGATTTGGATTTGTCTTTTTTTTTTAATGTTTATACTCCATGAATCAATATATAGGCCATACTTAAATACTAGGGCTTGGACTATGCTCTTTATTTTCTCATTTATTTGTCTATACACAAACTGTCTATGCCATAGTTTTCATATACTACTCAGTGCTTTGAAATTCTGCCAAACATTCCTTAAAAAATACTTTAAGAAAGCTGAAAAATAAACACTCTGGAGCAAAAGTAAAAAAACCCAAACAAACAAAGCAAAAAAACCCCACACCCAACCAAGAACCCAACAAAAAAAAGAACAAAATATTCAAGGTAATGAAGTGGAATCACTTCTTAGACGACACAGTTGTTATGAGTTGCAGGGAGCAACACCATTTACTGCAGCTGGTAAATTAGCTAAAGCCAGGCTATACAGAGCAAGACAATATTATTTTCTTCTCACTTACATGTGATTTGATATGATTCAAACAACAGTCTTTTAATGGAATTTTTTACAGATACCCTGAAAATTCTCTTGTATCAAAAACCAGTCTATGTACTCTTCTATATCCATTTAGTAATACAACAGATCTACTTACCTATTCTTCCTTTCTCTACAAAGCCATTTAGTGATGTTTAGAAAATGATGAGAATTTATTTCTAGAAAAATAACCTTTTTTCTTGTGTCCCCCACAGTTCATGCTTTAAACCAAAACCTATCCTTGAATAACCACAACAGTCAGCAGCACTGGGAGGAATGGCCAGATAACTGACAGCAGAATTTCCCACTCTTAGCTTGTTGTAAAAATGCTTATAAAGCACCAGGGAGAGGGGTAGGAGAGGAAGGGCAGAGAATGTTTAAGCGAGTTTCTTGGATGCTGGGCTAGGAGACTGGAGAAAGCATGCACCTGCCATATATCTTATCCATTTCACTAAAATGATATTCAAAATCAGGCAATGCTGATATTCCCAGAATTGAAATAATAAATAAAAAGAACTTCCAGCTAAACTAATTATTATCACACTACAGTCTTTATATAATGTGCTATTTACAGGGAAATACAAAAAGTATTTCATTAATACAAGTACTACAAAGACTACATGTGATGCAGAACAGCTTTTACACTAGGCAAGGGTATGGAACCTGGAGTCAAAAATAATAGAGAATTTCCCCCCACTTACCAGTGCAACAGGCGTTCAGTGCAAAACAAACTGTGTTCACTCCCTTCCATTTCAATGCATTTTCTCTAGAAAGCTCCTAACAGAGTCACAGTCATTTTTCTATGCTCTCATCAGCAGCACAACACCTTTGGTGAAGGAAAAGCAGTGAGCTGGCTGCAGAGTGGGAATGCAGAGAATTGGCAAGTGTAGAAAAAGTGGAGAAGCTACAAAAATTTATTTTCCAACAAAATAA